TTTCGATGAGCTTGTGCAAATTTTAGCCTCAGTTTCCTGTTCTTAGCTGAAAGGAGTGGCACCCGGTGTGGTCTTCTGCTGCTGTAGCCCATATGCCTCAAAGTTCGACGTACTGTGCGTTCAGAGATGCTCTTCTGCCCACCTTGGTTGTAACGGGTGGTTATTTGAGTCACTGTTACCCTTCTATCAGCTCGAACCAGTCTGGCCATTCTCCTCTGACCTCTGGCATCAACAAGGCATTTCCGCCCACAGAACTGCCGCTCACTGGATGTTTTTTCTTTTTCGGACCATAAACCCTAGAGATGGTTGTGCGTGAAAATCCCAGTAGATCAGCAGTTTCTCAAATAGTCAGACCAGCCCTTCTGGCACCAACAATCATGCCACGTTCAAAGTCACTCAAATCACCTTTCTTCCCCATACTGATGCTCGGTTTGAACTGCAGGAGATTGTCTTGACCATGTCTACATGCCTAAATGCACTGAGTTGCCGCCATGTGATTGGCTGCTTTGAAATTAAGTGTTAACGAGCAGTTGGATAAAGTGAGTGTATTTCATCTACTTCTAATTTAGTCTCAGTAGTGGCAGTGATTGGCCCTCTGGTAAAGGCTACATATGTGGCAAATGGGTCTTATAGCGGTCCTGTTGACAGATCCTTCTACCTGAGCACTGGACATCTTCTCTAGATGCCTCTTGGTTGCTTTCCTGGTAAAAGTCAAACAAAAGTATACAACCAATTTTCATGTAAACCAGGATGTAAAGTTAGTATAACACTGGTGCTATGGTTCTCCTCTTTTAGGACTCTAGGCTTTTAGTTTTCAGTTATCCTGTTTAGTTGATCTTTGATTTATTTTCCATTATATTAAAGCGCTCTTTATTTACTCTCCGTCGCCCCCGTGTTTCTTTTCCCCTGGCTTCCTTCTAGTTAGTTCCAATCACACCTGCTCCATATTCACCTTATTAGTCCATCCTTTCTTCTGTTCCCCTTATATATACCACCTCTGCAGTCACTCAGTACTGGTTCTGTTGGGATCTGGAGATCTGCCACCTTTCTCCAGCAGAGGGCGCCCTGGGTCTCCTGAGCTGAAGCCACCTGCACACCTGAGGCTGATCATCTCATCAGGAGACCAACTATATAAGCAGCGGCTTGACTTCCCTTCAGCGCCAGAGTGTTAAACAGTTTATGGAAAAGCCTGATTCTCTCCTGGAGCTCTGGAGGAGCCCACAGTCTGGAAACCTGCCTGCCTGCCCTTGGAAGCCAAACCTGAAGATCTCTGTCTGGAACAACCTGCTGGTTCTCAAGGAGAGAACTAGGAGATCATTCAAGGTCTGAACCTCATAAGCCTGAAGCCAAGCCCTGCCGCTGCTAAGCCCTCAGCTGATACCTCTGTCTCTGGACCCATCTGGTTCCCTCCCTCTACAGTTCTGTCTGAACCACATCAGGTACAGATCAATTCAAGGACTCTGACAAGATACTCCAGTCTCTTAGCTAACCAAACTGTCCCTCTCTACAGAGAGCCCTGTGTTACCGGTTCCTGGACCCGTTCCTGCATCTGAAGCCAAATAACATCATTGTGTTTTCTTTTTAATAAACATTTGAACTTTTACTCTGAGTCTGTGGTGTTCTGCATGTGGGTTAAATCAGTTAGACCCATCATGACAGGTTCCTTGTTGTGTTGCTGCTTCCTCATCTCTGGCTCCCCACGTGAGTTTTCCCCTGATGTTTTCTGATTTTTTAGTTCTTAGTATTTTTGTATTTTGAATTATTGCCTCAGTTGCCTTCAAGACTCATCTCTGCCTCCTGATCTTTGGATTTGGTTCCTCAAAAACCTCCACCCAACCGTGACAATTGGTGCATTCATAATTTAAACTTAAGTGAAGCAGGGAATGACCTAAGAACTGCCCCAATGAGGCTGTAAACACACTTACCCATCATACTGCAAAGCTGCAGTATGCTTATGAAAGGCAGCCATGCTGCTGGTACGCCACGATTATGAATTTTCTTGCTTGATTGACACAATAGTCTATTATTTTAGTCATAGAGGATGCCAAAATGGCAGCTCCCATAAAAAGCACAGTAAGTTTTTAAAAACACTACAATTTAAAACAGTGTAGGCGTGTTTTTGTACAAAATTACTGGACAAATACTTCAAGTTCACCCTTATATAATGGATGAACACAAAGAACAGTTTCAGGTTTAGTTTCACTTTAATGCTGCCCAGAAAACTTTTCCACTATTTCATCTTTGTCATGTCTACTGAGTTCTTTGTTACTCATCATGCTGTTACAATGATAATTATCATATATATTTCACTTCATTTTAGAGTTACACTATACTTTGTTTTGTAGATGAAACACATTGTATGGTACACTAGGTTCCACACATCATGTCTCCAGTGAAGGTAAAAAGGTGAGTGTTTTAGTTGCCATTCAAAGTCTTTTTAGCTCAGACAAGTTTCAAGAACCCTGCTGCTGCATGGAATGAATGTTGTAAAACTCTCAAAAATAAAGCAGTGGACAGATTATAACGCGTATAAAGGAAGAATGTCAGCTTCAACATGACAACAAAAGGAGGAAACAGCAGAAAATAAGCATATAGGGTGTTTATTCAGGTTGTGCAATCTTTGTGGACGCCTACATAAAAAGGATCCTCCTTATTAACAGAAGCAGCCTGGAATAATCTTTTTTGATAAAATGCAGACAGTGTAGGGTTCTTCATTCATTGTCCTCAGAACCCTTTGTCCTGCATATTTTGCTGCTTGTACACACCTGACTGAAATATTATAGCTAACCAAGCCCTTCATGGCTGCCGGGGAAGTACGGTAGTAAAATCATTTGATTCATTGGAGCTGAGACAAATCTAAAACATGGAGGAGAGTGGATCCTGGGGACTTGGACTGAGGACCCCTGTCATACAGCTTTAAAAAGTGACCTCTAACTTCAGGATTCAATTAGATCAGATCCAAGTATGAATATCAGCCATTCTTTTCTTTTCTTTGGCTCTGGTAATTTTCCATAGGTGTGTTTGCTTAGAACTTGGAGCACCATCTGATTCCCTCTTCCTCAAGTCTCTACATGCTGGATACTGAAGGTGAAGCAATGGGAGATTAGCTTAGTTCCTCCACCCTGGTACCAGAAGCCTAATTTAATTAAGAGATTATATTATCTTGTACCAAGGAAATAACTTAAAAGATAGAGAGAAACATCATTAGTTAATTTCTCTATGTGTTTTAGTAATTTTATTTCCACATTTTTCATCTAAATATATTTAAATTGACATTAAAGGAACTGTGGCTGAAAAGTTTCTGTTAAGAGATAACATTGTTCACAGTGTCTATAGACTAGTAATTCATAACAACGCTTTAGATTAAAAGGATTGCTATAATCAAAACATTTTTCAATAATGTTTTGATTTGTCAATAAAAAAATTAATGATCATGTTTTCTTCTTTTCTTTTCTTCTTTTGGACCGTTAAGTTTTAAGTTCTCCTGAAGAAATACATTCGTTTTTATAACAGAAAACGCTACTGAATCTATTACAAAATAATTCAGTGAATATAACAGGAAATACCTTCACAAACGCAACATGTTCAATGAATCATTGCTTTGGACCTTTTTATTTATATCCAGACTGACTGCATTCCTAATTGTTCACGCCTGACCTCCCACTTTCAGTGTCTATTCTTTTTATTTCATATTTATTGATGTGGACATTTCAACTTATTGTACATTAGTAAATAGATGTATTAGTATATATAAATATATAGTTAAATAAATAAGATATGATTTAGGAAATGTTTAAATTCCTTTGTACTTGGAAGACAAATCTATGGGATATACATTGATATTCTAAGGTGTATAATTGTGAAACATTTAAGGATTTTTGTGACTCCGGGATGTTTCTGAGAATAAAGAAGAGTGCTGTTGCAACTTCCTTTTCATCTAGTTTAACTCTAATAAACTGAGTTTATGTTTCTGAAAAAGGGAAGTGATTCCCTCCCCGTAAGAATCAGACTGTAGGGTTTCTTATTCAAGGGACCCTCCTGGCAGAAACACTGCAGTTCCCAAAACAGCATTTATTCCCTCAAAGTGACAACAAAAAGGTTACAAAGAGGAAAGCTGAAATTTGACTGGCTCAAAGCAAAGTTTCCTGTAGTACTTCTTCTTTTAGTCACTTCGCTATAAAATGGAAATGCTGCATATGGTTAGGTTAAAAAAAGACTTAATTATTCCAATATTTGCTATAATGTAGAAAGACATATGTTAAAATATTTTTATTTTATTTTAAGAAAATTAATTAAACCCATGTCTGCATTTTATATCCTTAATAAAATGTGAGTATTTTGTTTAGTTCTGCTTGCCTGGGACAGAATCGATTATATAAAAATTGAACATAGTTATCTATGTTTCACAGAATTTTGAGATCTATCTCTAATTAGGATAATACAAATAAGAATTATGTTCCCAAATAATCATTTATAATCACCAATTCTCAAGTTACTGAAACTTTTGTGTTTGCATTAGCTTCAACAGATCTTCCTGTGTAACTGGATACCTGGACCTTCTCCCCCTGGAAGGAATTACTGAGTTCACACTGAGCAGGGGAAAACCTCCACATGATCCATTCAAGTTCCCATCGGATCCAAGTGAGAGTCCGCGCCGTTACATCTCCGGGTCCACGTATGTCTACCTGTCCGCTCTCCAACGAGTTCCCTCTTCTCTGGATAATCCCACACAGACTGGATTCAAGGATTGACAAGAGCCACCTCAAACGTGAGTCCCATTACAGAATAATTCAAGCCGCAATCTGATTACCCACGGTCCCTGAACTGATCTCTGTGATCTCCCCTTCAGACTTTCCAGTTCCTGTTCACCAGTTCTCTGAGTTCCAGATCCAACCTCCGTTCACATTGCTACAAATAAACTTGATAAACTTTTCTCCGTGTTATCTGAGTGGTTTCTCTGCATGTGGGGGAGATTCCTTAAACCGATCATGACAACATACCTCAGTCAGTGTTTCTGGAGGGATTCCATCAAGGTGAAGAGTAGCTGTGTCGCCGCTTAACTCGCGCTCCTTGGAAAGATGAGTACTGTTCATGTTTGTTCCAGCAATGTTAATCTAGACAAAGAAAAATAAAGTAAACCTCAAATTAACTTTCATATGATTGCTCTGATGGATATAAGTGACACTGAAAATCAACACCAATAATGTCGTTATGTCTTCCGGCATTGTGGTTAGGCAGTAAATATGTATTCATAGCAGCCTACTGTACCTGTAGGATTGAAATAAGACAAGCCATTACTGAACTGATGCCTTTGTGTATAATATCAAGTGTATCGTATTTGAAATTTGGGTTTTTAAGACCACTGCATCATCAGCGTACCAGTAATAGTTTTGTTCTTGAAAACCCTGACTCACTCACACTCAGACACATGTAGTCAACAGAAGCTCTATAAAAGATTAGAAAGAAATGTTTTATATATAACAAATGATGCAAATAAATTATATAATTTAGGTTATACAAAATGTATGTTTTGTTTTTCATTTGTCAAAAAGTTTAATGGCAACTCTAATTTACAAAAAATAAATAGAATTTTCTGAAAAGTATTTCATGGTCCAGGTTTTCAATGTTAAAAGTGTACCTGCCCTGCCTATAAAACATAAACCGGCTTTTTAAACAAAATGTTGAAAAATTTGCACTAAAGTGGTTGATACCAAGATACCATGAGGGCCAGGGCTAAACGTGGGAGTTTAGCAGAGGTGTGTTCAGAACATGCAGCTATTTTAACTAAGCCATATTGAAACATGGAGAGTAAAAAGAGGGACACTAGTAGGTACTTACTTACCAAGTATGTATGTGTTTGAATGACTTGAATTTATTTCATTCAAAGGGCTATAATCACGACAGCCTGTGCTGTTTGAACTAATATAGCAATATCCACGGTTTTAAGACACGAATTGCAGAAGTAAACAAGCTCACATGAAAATGTAAAACAAAATGCTTAGTAATATCAAAATAGCCTCACAAAGCCCCGTTTAGCCAATTGCAATTTAGCTGATTTTCGAATGAGTGACAATTTGAGAGGGGGATATCTATTTTTTTAATTTGTGTTTTCTTCAAATGTCAAACCCAGGTGAAAACTGATTTGAAATTGTTTAAATGGTGTAAATGCCTATAGTAATGTATTATCCTAGCTGTATCTAATGTGAGCAAGGACATAAAAAACAAAAAAATAACTCAGTTTAGCATGAGATTTCTGTCTATTTAGTTTCAACATGTGAACTTCCTTTAAGAGGAAGAGGACCTGGACAAACACGTTTTTTCGTTCTTCATAGTTTCAGTATCTGCAATGGTTTGACTTATAACACACAAACAGTGGTGTCAAAAGTACAAACATGTGTTACTTAAGTAGAACTATAGATACTGCAGTTTAAAAACCCTCTGGTAAAAGTTGAAATATCAACTTGACCTCTTTACTCAAGTAAAAGTGAAAAAGTATGTGCTCCAAAAACTACTTAAAGTATCAAAGTATAAAGTAACCTTTAAAAAAAACCAGCCAGATGCCACTATATGAATTGAAAGCTCAATCTTATGACTATTTCGAAAAATTCTTTGAGATAGGGCCAAGGATGAGGGAGGTCTGGTTGGTCTCTGTCTCCATCTCCCGATATGCTCTCGCCTGTGTCCGACCTTTCAGACATTTCAACATCTTTTTCTGAATCCAACATTGTAGCATGGCAGAGACAATTCATGTTTATAGTTTGCAGAACACCTGCTTGCTTCTCATTATTTCCTTTGGCTAACCAATGAGTGTTTGCGTTATATGACTCATCCAATTTACACTAGTTTTCACCAGATGTGGACGGCGCCAATGATCTGCATTGGATGGCGCACATGACGTGAAATATATATAAGCATAAAACCGAATTCAGATTAAGTTGCAGTTTAAATGTTAAAGTTTCTTTATTTAGCTCAAATACAAAAAGACTGTGTGCAACAAATTGTCCAAACTTAAAGCCCTAAATAACCCTCTTTGATTGTTCTGACAATTACAAGTAATTTATATATGTATGACTTTGTCTGTTCACAATCAGTATGTCTACAGGGGTTCACATTTCCTGTAACTCACTGACACATCCTGCTTTTCAGCCTTTAGAAGCTTTAAGATGCCTGCAGGCAGGCTCGGGCTGGTATTCTGTGATATTGTGCATTTACCTGGTGGGGCGGTCCTAATTTCAGTGTGCGAGGGCCGGCCCTCCTTCAATCAACACTTACTATCCGGCTGAAGCACCTACCTGTGACAGTAAATAACTGAAGGATCCCAAGAAGTAATACAATGTTAACTACCTAAATGAAGCATGCAGTATATATATAGCCATCCTTGTCATGCACATCCGTAGCGCCTGGCATATGGTGTAATTTCCTATTTCTTCAAACTTTAAAATTCTTGCAACAAACTAAATTATAATAAAACCAAAATGCTTTCTTTAACGGTGTTCTTCTTATATTTGGTGAATTTATGTTCTAATTTTTTGCAAAAATATGTTGCAGTGCATTATGGGGTTTTGCATCTAAAGGCTAACGTTTCCCGTCTTACATGCATTGTTGCCGTTCAGGTTGGGACGTTTAGGATGGCCATATATGGGTAAAAAATGTTTTTCTTTAGATTTATGGCCTAAGAGATCAATAGACTTTGATTCAAATTGGGCAAGATTTCGTACATCCAGGCGGTTTATGAACATTTTTGGGCTGGAAAACGTGAGTCAGTGACGGTGCTGTATGTTAGAGTTGGTGTCTGGCTGGCTTCATTCAAGTGTGGATGTTACGCAGCAGCAGTCACTGTCGCGTCCGTGTGAGATCTTTTTAATATTCAACATAGGGCTGGGCGATAATTCAATAACGATATATATCGATCGATAGACGTGTGGCGCAATAGAAAAAAAGAGGGTTGATAAAAGTTCGATAAAAAAGAAACGCAGTTTTCCTTCCTTCTCATTGTAGCCTAGCATGTAGGTTTATGCTAGTCACTGCTTCCTCCCAACCAATCACAATCGCGGACCCAGGCATGCCGTCACCAAGCGCCACCCTCTCAAACCACAACACAGAGCACATGAAGATGCAGCAAGGAGAGGCGGAGGAAATTGTTCCAAAGAAGGGTTTTTGTAGTTCGGCAGTCTGGCAGTATTTCGGTCATGGCAAGTCGGACCAAATACAAACCACAGTCATCTGGAAAATGTGTCGGGAACCAGTGAAAACCAGTCTGATAACGAAACCAACTTTTTTTTATCATCTCAGCCGCTCACAGCCGCAGGAGTACGAGCTGTGTAGGCCCCGACGCGGCTCTCCTCCGAGGAATCTTCGGAAAATATATATATATTTTCAGTTCTGGGCAGTTTCCCACGTAGTTCTAACAATTGAGATATAAATGCTGAGGGCCCAGAAACTTCAAAGTAATAACTCAGGTTAAAGCAGGAAACGGGGGCGGCGGCGGCGGTGGGGGGGCATTTATTTATTTGTTATATTTATTTTGGTCACTTTAGTTTATTTTTTGTCAGTATTTAATAACATAACTCAGGTCTCTTAAGTTATTTTTCTTTAAAACAATTCTGTTAAGGTTAAAAAAGTTGGTTAAATAAAGATTTAATTCGAAGTCTGTGTTTGTGTTTTTTATTAAAATTAAATCATTTAGCAATATTATAAAAAGTCCAGGCAGAGCTGCACATAAAATATGGTTTCAAATCTTTTCAATAATTATCGATATCGATCAATATGCATTTTTTTTTATCGATAAGCTTTTTTTCTATATCGCCCAGCCCTAATTCAACATAATAAAACAAACCTCAGAATTTCCTACAGGACCTTCAAATCACTGAAAGAGCAAGACTTTAATTCAAGACTTTAATAAAATGGCGTAACGACACAACAATAGGCTCGTTAGCAACATTATCTGGCTGGGCCCCATATGAAGTACAACACTCTGGATTACCTATAATTCCAAGTCGTAGGGTAAAAAATAAAATACTCAAATACATCGTTCTTTTAAGATCTTTATTGCAGTTTGAAACATGAAACTCATATTATGAATGTATTTTTTACCAACTGTCTAATGAACTATACACAGTTATTAACATAATAATTAAAAGAACCACTTTCTGCTTTGCTATTGGTGTCATGTTTAAACGGCTCAATTCAATTCAGTTTATTTATATAGCGCCAAATTCACAACACAAGTCATCTCAAGGCACTTTACAGTTCAACCAGATCATACAGTCAAATTGATTCAAAGTTTTCTATCCAAGGAAAACCAGTTGATTGCATTGACTCATTGATTCAAATACAATCCCTCACACTAAGCATGCTTGTAGCGACAGTGGAGAGGAAAAACTCCCTTTTAACAGGAAGAAACCTCCAGCAGAACCAGGCTCAGTGTGAGCAGCCATCTGCTGAGGCCGACTGGGGTTCAAGGAGACAGAAACAGAGAAAAACAGCTGCAAAAGGCGGCCCTGTCCAGGAAACACACAGCCAGGCAGACGAGCTCCGAGCCAGCTCCCATGCCAGAGGACGAAGAGAGCACATCCACTCAGTCACGGTCAGAGACAACATGGTGGCTCACCACCATGTTGAAATCTACCATGTGTTTGGGGTATAAATAAGGTCCAGACAGTCTGTCTAATGTCACGTTAAGAGGAATTCTTTGCACCATTACATCTACAATTAGACATCCTGATTGTAGATGTAATGGTGTCACTGAAACTGAGGTCAGGGGCCCGTAAGCAACTGCGGTCTCTGCTTACTGATATTTATGACATTGCTTTAAAATATATATATATATATATATATATATATATATATATATATATATATATATATATATATATATATATATATATATATATATATATATATATATATATATATTCAGAAAGTCTCCATTCAATCTGACTGAACTTTAGATATTCTGAAGTCATCAAGTCTTAAAGCTTTGGCTCAAAAGACCTGAAAATAAAAGCACTCCACACTTTTCAAATGTAAAAGGTGAAGCAGTTTTCAAGACCATTATTTAACTTCACAAAATATTAACTACTCTCTTTTGGTTTGTCACATGAAAATCTAATTTATTTATTTTACCTTGTATGCTTGTATGATTTTTGTAATTGAATTTTTATCCAGCCCTGTAGAGCTGAATCACCGTTTCCAGAGGAATTAAAGGAACGATTTTAAAGATTTTTGGAGATTCTGTCAAGTTTCTGCAGCATCCTGAAATCCAGATGCTTGGTTTAACTCGTGAGCAACATTTTACAGCAACGTTTGTTCCAGGACATCCTTGAACTCCTGGTTGCTCCGTGACCAATGACTGCTGTAGAGATGCCCCTTACGCCACCCAAAGGCAATGCAACATCTAGTAAGGAGCAATATTTGTGCTTACGGTTTGAGAGCGCACAGTGAGACAACACTCTACCATGAAAAACTCTTCTCTACACTCAACACCAGCTGTGCTGGGCTGTCTATTCATAAATGTATGTAAATAAACCACACCATCAGCCAATCACGCCCAGTTTTTTTTTCATCCAATCAAAGTATTCATTCCAAATACTACATCCGGTTAAATGAAAAAAAAAAAAAGATCAGGAAATTAGACAACTCTTTTAGCTATGTCGGTAAAGATATATATATATATATATATATATATATATATATATATATATATATATATATATATATTCTCACAGATAAGTCGGTAATAAATGTCGGTAAAGCTGTTATTAGACCATCCACCTTTTTGCCTGGTATTGATGTGGATTTAATTTAGCTGTTTAAACAGAGAAATTAGGAGGATATTACAGATTCAAGTATGGTTCAACAATGTTTAGATACAAATATTTTAGATATGGGAACATTTTTAGGGATGCTTCAAAATATTCCAGTATTAGGAAAAGTGTTTCGTTTTAGTTACAAAATTTTATTTTAAATCGGGTAAAAGAATTAGTGATGAAATTAGGCATCCAAAGGAGAAATATTTGTGATCATATTGGCCTTAGAATGGATTGAAGAAACTGTTCCATTAAGAAGTTTCATTTGCTCTGGTTCTAGTTCAGCTTTACATTCTTTTACACACAATCTTTCAGACAGTAGGATATATTTGTTTCAATCCCGATCCAGTAGTTTGCCAACCGCCATATATACATACATTTATGAATTCGCGAGCGCAAAGATAACCGTGCGCACAGCTGGTGTTGAGAGAGCAGGTCGAGCGCGAGCAGAGACGGATGCGAGCACGCGCAGAGACGGATCCGAGCACGCGCAGAGACGGTACTGAGCGCGACCACAGTGTGTTGAGAAGAGTTTTTCAAGAGTTGAGCGCGCGCCAGACCGGTTTTGAGCGCGCGCGTGTTGTGTCACTGCGCGCTCTGATTGGTTCCTGCGCGCTCAAATCGAAGGAACAAATATCGCTCCATTGGTATGTCTCCATAGATCTAGTTTGCATTCTGCTGACGCAAATATTGGCCAGCAGCCGGTCTTTCTGGTTCCACGGGTTGAAGGAAACTATATGTAGTTTTCGATTTTAACTCAGCTATGACAACGAGTAACTTCCGTAAACGCTGAAGGAACTGTTTAATGCATTAATATAAATGGTTTGTTTTTACTCTAAGGTAAGACAGACACACTAAACAATAGGATGCTCAGCTTTCACAAAATAGTCTAAAATATCCAAACACAATGGATGAGATAAATCAAAGACACACCTTGTAAAAGAGTTTTAGATTTCCCTTCATCCTTAACTACAAATCAGCCGCTGATCTTTTTAAACTGTCTTAAAATACGAGAATAAACCCCCAGTATCAGAAAACGCTCATTCTAGTGTGCCAAATATATTGTTATTAGGGAATAGAAAAGCAGAGAGGGGAAAACTTACCTTTGCCTCTTGTGCTGACCGGCTTTTACTCTGACTTCCAAAGTGAATAAATAGGAGGAGGTGAGCGCTGGATATTGTTCCACCCTCCTCACCATCAGCTGCTGTCGCAACAGGATCTAGGGAGTCTCGCAATGACGCTTAGTGAGGGAGCCGCCGAGATACGGATCAAAACTGCTGATTTCTTTTTCTTTTTATCTTAAAATGCTGAAATGAAAACCGGAGGAGAGGTTCTGGAAAATAATGAGGAAAGTTGTTTGGGTGTATCTGCAGAAGCTGAGGCATCGGTGCGTAATGACACGCGCTAAACCAGGTGGCTGAGTATAGTAAATCACCTTAATGTGCCGCTCCTAATGAATCAGAGGAGGGATTAAATATTGGTGTGTCATAACTAAAAATTTCTAAAGATCATTCGATATTCCACGTCCACTTTACAATAAGTCTGAGTTTACTTCCTTTTAACGCGCTCCAAAGTTGACCTGTTACCAAATTAACTGATTTCTACAGCATGCTTGTGCAATTCAATTATTTAAAAGATTATATCTTAGTTGTTTTAACCCTTTAAAGGGCATTCAGTAAAAGACTTTACACATTTCAAGCAAAGAGTACACTGCGAAAAACTGAAATCTAAGTCAGTTTTTCTTTTTAAAAAAGTGATTTTTTTTTTCTTGAACTGAGCAGGTAAGTGAGATACAAGAAACGCCAATTTACCCATAAAATTAAGAAAAATAACAAAAGTGCTTTAAAAGAATTTCATGAAAAACACTCCGAGAGTAAAAGAAATGGCACTGCATTTGTAAGGGGTATTCAAGTGATCAAAGATGGCAACTTGCCTTATAAAGGGTTAAAACATAAACAAAAATAAATGGTATGTAGCATTGCACAAACATTTCCAACTTTTATCTATTTTGTTATTTTAACCTGCACTTGACATAAATGAAAACGCAAACCTTTGTTTATCATAGAATAGAATAGATCATAAAAAAGAATTTTTTTTATCTACAAAAGTTCAAGCATGGCTGCATCTTCCATGAAGCATAAGTCAGACTGACTGATCAGGCTGTCATCTAGGGAGAGGACTGCTGCTGACAAGACAGACATCCTCCTCATGGGTAATCCACCAAAGGCCACATCTACACACAGTACACGCTGTATCCAAACACAGCAATGGAAGGTTGTGGCAATCAGTGGCGCAACCAGAAACATTTTTATAGTGGTGACCAGACATGGACCAAGGGGGTCGAACAAAAGCAGGCATCAGAACCTCAGGGTCAATTTACACTGTTCCAACAGGAAAATAAACGACAAAAACACCTACTACAGATTTTACAGGGCTTTAAATATAATGAATCAAAATAGTATTTTCCAAATAGAGACAAAGCCCGAAACTAATAGCATATATCTACACTTCCAAACTGTCTAAAATGGGCCATCTTTCAGCTTTGAGTTCTGGGGAACCATTTTATCTTTACTTCATTTCTTTCCTTCATCTCCAAATAAAGAAAAAGATTACTATGGAGCTAGAAGAGTCTCAATGTTAGCAGATCACATGTGGACAGGACTTCTCATTTTTTTATTTTAATGTAGAAACCTTACACATGCAGACGCACTCACATACTGTATGCCTACAGGTGTTTGGATCCATGTGCATAAGCGTATTTAGCTGCCACTAAATTCATTTTGTATAAAATAATAGTGTTTATTTGGTGCAATCATTGCATGGGTTGTAAGAACCTATTGATATAGTTTCTCTTTGTTCTGTTTTATTCTCTCTCTCTCTGCAGGTGGGGAAGAAAATTTTCCTCCATTACCACGTTCTCTCCTTTTTAAATGTTTGCCTTATCTCTCTATTTCTTTTTCTTTTGTTTTGTTTTGTTTTTACTTTTCATTGTGTGTCCATAATATTTAAATAATTTTCAAAATAATCTCCAGCTAACTTTTTTGCAATCAAGTAAATATAAAACAGAACATTATAGTGAAAGTAGTAGTGCTTAACTTGTGTAAGGCAACATGCTGGGCTTCTTTTTTGGCACTAAAATATACCTCCTGCCAGACAGGACATGTAAAAAAAATAAAAATAAAAAAAAAGATGCATTTAAATAGATGTATTGTATTATATGTATATAAGTCAGCCATGCAGATTACTCCATACTATAAGAGTATTTCCACAACCTCATCAGTGCGAAGTTACAGTTTGTTCTTAACTCTGGCCTGGTTGGTGAAACAGATTGTTGTGACATTGATTCTTACGAAACGGCGTTTTAACATTCTAAAGTCTCAGTAGAAATGCAAACCTCAGTCGGTGTAAAAACTAAACATACAAAAAGAAACAAAAAAGACTTGAGTGACAAGCTGCAGCAGCACAGAGAGGGACTAAAGATAAAGATCCTCCACAGTATTCGGTTCTCTTCTTAGCTATTCACATTATAACAGGGCAACTCATTGAAACAAAAACATCCTGAATGCAACATATTTCTGCAATGGCCTTCCCTTCAGAGGAGCCTGATTAAAATGTGGACCTTTACTACAGTGTTTACAGCCTTATAGTAGAGTTAAATGTGACTTTTATGTTATTTTATTCTAATAAGCATTTTCTGAGCTTACAGGTTGCAGACATGAAATAGTGTGACACAATATTGTTTAGAGAACATAAGAAACCCAGATGTTAAAATGGACTCCAAACTAAACTCTCAAAACATACAGAAAAATATCCTCTACCCACCTTAAACAATAAAAAAAAACCCATGAAGTTTCCTGTTGAAACTAGATAGAAAATGGCAAAGTTCTTGCAATGATGTCTCTACAGCTTGGATGTAAAAGTCTTCCTTCTGGCAAATATGATCAATATTGATCATTTCTAGCTGATTTTACTAGAAGTAAATGTCAGCAATCACCAATAATCACAATCTTACAGTACCGCTTGTATTCGGTTGAATTTTGCCTGACATCTAATTTTAGTTTGTTGGCACATTTATGTACATATATTCATAAATATACACATTCAAACAAGCATACACATCTTTATACAATTATAAACTATAACATACATGACTACAACCATTGTAAAAATATATATGCACTCATGAACAATGAGTCAGTTCACCTATTGTTGTTCACCACCCTTCTCCCACATTGTATCTTTTTAAGAAAACCAGTTTGAGCCCTTTTCTAAAAAGGCTCCTGATTGGACATGGGCTCAACTATTCATTACTTGAAATGCTTCTTTTCAGGTTTGCTGAAGCACATTTTTAAATTCCTTCAATTATACACTCCCTCTCTCTCCACAACATGCTTTTGTATCCTGTCTGCTAGCAGTTTATTTCTAACCTTTCACATTAAATGTAAAGTTTGAAATTCTACCAGATTTGATTTAAGCAAGTAGGAATGATTGAATAGTGGATTAGTGTGGTGGTGACAGAAGCATTATGAATTATCCTGATGACTCTTTTCTGCAGAAGTATAGGAGTTTGAGTAATGTCCTGTAGGTGTTATCAATCTTCTCTACAAATCAATGTACAGTAGTGAATATTTAATGTTTTCTAATTAAAATGTTTTATGTTACTAATAATTGTGATGCTTCTAGATAATTTAGTCCTGACATGTTTGAGGGGAGGCTTCCAGCAGATCTTATAGTCAATAATCACACCTAAGAATTTTTTTGGATTTACACATCACACCTCTGACCAATGTATTTTGACGTTCACATCTCTTCCTCCTTTATTATTTGCAAATAATGTGAAGGTACTTTTTTTTCTTCTAGATTTAAGGATAATATGTTTTTATGGAACTTTTTTTTTTTAGCTTATCTGGCGTGATATCAGCCGCTTTAAGCTCTTACCTGTACAGAATACCAAGCCAATACTGACCACTGGGGGGCACTACAATCAATTATCAAACCACTGCTTGCTACTTAAAAAAGCTCCCATTCAGTCCAGAGCAACCACATAAATGATAATGCTCTAATTTCATGATTACTATTTGTGATCAGTTGTTTTAAAAAGCTTATGTTTTTTTTTTAGACCAATTGCAAACTTCTTTATTTCCAGAATGTTCAACGCTGTGGATCTAAATCCATACTGAGTAGTTGTGTATATCAATCAAGTTTTGCTAATAAAGAGTTTTTAAAAATTATTTGAAAACCGTGAACGTAAACAAAAAAAAAAAGGAATAATGTAGAGGTCAGAGGTGGATTATCCAGGTCCAAAAAGTATAAAGCCTTTACAACATTTAGTTTTCATCATTTGCAATTCCAGTTTACAAAAAAGACAGGGGGCAATCATCTGGCTAATTGAACAGCATAAAGGACCTCGATCATCCACCTGGATAGAGGGGGAGTTTCTGCATTGAAAACTGTTGCAGTGACATCCAATTATAATGGCTTTATTTGGATTTAAACTAAAACTGAGCTATAAACACATTTAAGGTGTTTCATGCTTCACATTAAAGGAATAGTACACCCAAAACATGATTAGCCTTCATTTTCTACTCACCCCCATGCTGAACAACACCCTGGAGTACTTTTTTGATATCTCAAATGCATCTGGAGATCTGGGAGGCTTCTTGCTGTCTGCTGACATTCAAATAATGGAGGTCTATGGCGCCCGAGGCAGAAAGGTCCATAAAAGTCCACAAAAAACGTGTCAATATTCCTCCATACTGCTCGTCCAATGTATTCCAAGTGTCCTGAGTGGGTAGCGTCCATAATTTACTCGAAACGAAGTCATTTAGAATGTTTTTAGAGCATAAACAGTAGTGTATAGGATTTCCTAAAAGCGCGTTCACGAGTCTACGGAAACCGCGGCAGACCAAACCAGACGAAAGTGCGCATTCAGCTCGGCAAAGAACTCATGCTCTTCCTCAACACTGAAGTCCTCAGACATTTTTCTTTCATTGTTTCTTTCTTTGCACAGGTAAACAGCACATTTCTTCTTCTACACTTGCATTATCGGCAGAGCAGACGCTGAATGCGCACTTTCGTCTGGTTTGGTCTGCCGCGGTTTCCGTAGACTCGCGAACTCGCTTTTACACCTTATAGGTATATTACACCCTATACATCTAATCCGAAAGCTGTACTAAGAGAAAAAATGTACAACAAACATTTAAAGGTCAGAAGTGTAAAAGCTTGGATATTGAATAGGACATTTATTGGTTTTGATATTATGATACTTGACTTGTATTTACTTAGTAACGGACCAATATTAAAATAATGAGTATACCACACCTCTAGAGGATACTTATGGTTTTACATTATATTCTTTATTTTATGAAAAACTACACTGAAAAAAACTAATGCAACAATTTTTGGCATTATTTAATCATATTTAGTTACTTTAACATAATTGTTTCATGTTAGCATGGTTGGACATAAAATAATTATGTTAAAGTAACTAAATACGATTAGTAAATGCCAAAAATTGTTGCATTATTTTGTTCAGTGTATAATATGTTTACTTCCAGTTATTTTTGATTGTTTTGTTTCCTCAAGCTTCATTGAGTTAAATTTGGGACTCCGTGACCTGAAAACAATCATAAATTGAAATCACAAGAGAATCATTGAAAAATAATATTTCTTTTGACTTAATTAGTAACCATAAATAAGGTAAAAAAAAAAAAAAAAAAGTTAAATTTTTTTACTTTTTCAACAAAAAACAAAAAAAAAAAAAAAAAAATCTGTTTCATTTATGTTATACTTCCAAGAGTTTTCAGATAAGGATCAATATTAGGGCCTTGTAGATTTCTTACAGAATAAACAACTGAATTTATTTAAAACTCAAAACCTCCTTGCTTGCAGGTAAAAGCCCTTTTAACTGTACTATAGACTGCACATCATCATGATAATATAAAGTTTCACTTGGATTAGTGTAATAATAACATGTTAAAAATGCATGTTTTTAACATTGGATCGGTTGCATTTATATAATCTTAACTTTACCTTAAGTAAATATATTTCAGTTGATTGCATTTGACAAGTGTGATTCTTTTCTAATACTGTTTTAAACAAAATGATGTTCATGTTTTTCAGAAAAGCTCTGTTTTTGATTCTTTTTTTCAGCATATTTTCGTGCGGAGCTTGCAGGTTAGACCTGTCTCCCATTGTTTACACCCCGGACCAGCTGCCAGCCCTACGGAGCTCCTCTGTGTGCCCACAGAAAGAGCCCATATCCCCCTGCGAGCTGAGGAGGAAGACACATGGCAGCCGTGCGGGAATCAGGCGATACCACTGGAGAAGGAGGTAGAGACATGTCATCCCATCAGTCATCATGGGCAACATCAGATCTCTCTCCAACAAGCTGGATGAGCTGGCGGCTATAACACACAATCAAAGATGCTACGGAGAGGGAAGCATCCAATGTCTGACTGAGACTTGGCTAACTGCACTAACTCCGGACTCTCATGTAAAAAGGGACAGATTTCATCTACTTTCGTCCGACAGAACCAGAAGTGTGGTAAGAATATATAAGAGTTATATAAGTGTTATTTAAAGAGTTTGTCGTGAGTGATCTCTTTTCAGGGAAAAGAACCGGAAAGATAGAGCATGAGGGTGCATACGCAGAGCCTATCTTTAACAAGTGAGTGAAGAAAGTGACGTCGTAGTTGAGGTGGCTCAAGAGGCAGGGGATGGATGAGGGTCTATTTTAATATAAAGTTGTGTATCGTTTGCATAGCAGTGAAATAATACATGAAAGTTGGAGATGATTTTGCCAAGGGGGTAAATTTAGAGGATGAACAGTAGGGCTTAAGTACTGATCCTTAAGAAAACCCACAAGTGATTGCATGATTTCTGGTGGTGGCTTTCCACAGAGAAACAGACAGTCCTGTCAGTAGGGTAAGAGAGGAACAACATAAAATACAGTGTCCTGTAGCTGAATGTGGTGGAGTTTATTAAGGATGAAAAGATCAAATGTCAAATGCAAATGCTATGCAAAACAGGATGAGAAGGTGGATCGGCATCTGCTGCCATTAGGTCATTGGTGACCTTGATAAGAGCCGTTTTGGTGCTTCGGGCAGGCTGGAATCCAGGATGAAGCTTTTCAAACAAATTGTTGGTGATAAAATGGTAGTGAAGCTGTAAACTTTCTGCAGAATTATTTCCTGCATCCAAACTATGGTACCAATATGTGCTGTCTGTCTCCAAATAGTCCAGGCTGATGACGGCTTTTGCTGCAAAAGTGCCAAAATTGTGGTGAAAAAGCAATGATGGTAAAACAGAGATATTAAGTTTCTCCATACTTTGGATGCCGAGGTTGCAAATATGACAGATTCGATACCAAAGGATAACAGGAATGGGTTTTAAATATTTTTTGTTTAACTTGCATTTTTTTAAATAAATATAACAACATCAAAGCGGATCATTAGTTATTATATGTAGTTTTACTCAATTTGTTGTATCTAGATTTGCAATGATTTAACCTGACAGTAGGAGGCACTACAGATTTGTTTCTGTTTTTAAGAAAAAACAAAGTTTATTTCAAAATAGATGCATTTTTTTTTATTGACATTGAATTAAAAATTGTATTACAGTAAAATAGAGGGAATGTTTTTACAAATGAGGAGGTAGTTTGACATTAGCCACCATCAGTGGTTTTAACAGAGTCAAAGACAGTTTCCCCTCAATATTCAAGTGCTCAGTTTCTGTTTAAACAAAACGTCCAGAAGAAGGCTTATTCCAAACACTGGCCGCCTATTCAGCCTGTTGACAGCTAGGGTTCTGGCTCCTTCTTCACAACGTCATCTTCGTCTTTGAGTCGGCTTCTTGGTTCGCTGCTGTTTCCTGAAGTCAATAAGGCATCCAGTGGCCTCAGAAATGGGGGTGAATGATCTGATGGGAGAGTTACTGACCCTGTACCCTGAAGCCTCCTGTTCTCCTTCATCTTCATCATCATCGTCGTCATCCCGCAGATCAATAACTGCTCTGAAAGTCAGACACAAACACACAGAACTGATTAACTTAAATCATTCAATGAAAAAAAACTGCAAAAAAGAAGGAATGACACAGAGTGGTGTCAAGATATAACTGACTTGTTGTAATTTTAAACTGCTTCAATTTCTTTATTTATTAGTTTATTCAAAATCTTCAAAAGAAAAAAATTAGATGGTTAAAAGAACCTAACTGAAATGGCGAGTGAGCTGTCAAATCATATACCATTTTCCCAGTGCCCAAAAATCCTGTTGGTACTGCTCACTGACAAACGGCTCGGTTCTGATTGGCATACAGTGGGAACATCTGAAGCAGGTGGAGTTACTATTTTCGTGATACCATTGGCAGTAGGAACATGCAAACTCCACGCAGAAAGACCCCGGGCCGGGAATCGAATCCAGAACCTTCTTGCTGCAAGGCAGCAGTGCTACCCACTGCACCACTGAGCAGCCCGTAGTTCTGTGCAATATATATAAAATGTTGTCTTACTCTGGTTGGGGTTTGGATCCTGACGGTCCTGCACCTGTGAACACAGTCAAATATAATAACGTCAGAAACATGATAAGATCTTTCTAGTAGTACTTTAACTTACAGTCACTTATATGTTGACTTCAAAACCTAGTTTGCTGCCTAACACCAATTATTTAATCAATTACATTTCCTTGCATTTTAAACAAGGAACAGAATAACCTACTTTACCACAATTATTAGGATTAACTATGAACATGAGAGAGAAGCTGCTAAGCCTTAGCTGCCTCTAGTGATCTGATTAAGGAAATGCACTTGTATTTACAAACTCCACCTATTGCAGGGGAAACTAACATTGATGAGGCCCCTTTACACCTGAAAGTAACAACCCAAACACACCAGCTTATTCAGAGAAGGGATGAAGAACCTAATACTAATATTTTATTATAAAGTTTCACCAAAATACCTCTACATACATCAAAATCAAAGCAAACTAATAAAGTCAGTTTTAGCTAATGCCAAACTAACATGATTCTCTTCAGAGGTTTCTTAAAAGGAAAAGTTGGGAGAAAAACTGATAGAAGTGTGTGGAAAAATATTTTTTTCCAAAAAAAGGACTGACCTGAGTTCTTGCTTTCTGTTTGCTCCAGAGCAGACAGCAGATTTCCTTTCTAAAGTTTGCAGGGGAAAAAAATAACAAAAAACCAGAGTTGAACACTGTTTTCGCTGCCACCAAGTTTAATGTAGGATTAAAAACTTTTTTCAGCTTACGGCTGCCCTCCTGAATGTCCCACGCTGAACGCAGAGCTCTGTGTGTCGGCTGTAATCTTTTAGAGGAAAATGTTTCTGACAGATATAACATTTCTCCTGCCGTCTGTGGAGCAAAGAATCAGTTTCAATGTTCTTTGAAAGGCAAGTCTGTAGAATGTAGCTCTTTAATGAAACTAGCTTCATAAAGTTTGGATTGTATCCTAAAAGGTAAAACAAGAATGACAAAGTGGCTGCTAGTCTGAGTGCATTCTTCAAACACTGGTTTCAACAGACCTGCAAACATCAGACAAAGTAGTAAGTTCCTCTGACGACGCCTCTGTTCTCTTCATCCTCTTCCTGCGAGGTTTTGTTGAATCTGTCAGTTGGGAGAATAACACCAGTATAAAATACCGGGTAAACCGCAAGTCTCTAAATCTTTAAGGTAAAGTTCTATGCTAGTCAGACTAGTTCTAATTGCTGTTAATTCCAATTTTCTCCTTATGGTACCTCTGTTGTCTAACCTCAGGTTTACCACTGAAAGGTTTGGTTTTATCAGTGTGCTTTAACTGTTGAAAGCTCTAAACCTGCATTTATCAAATGAGCTACATTCCAACAAGGGACAAAACTTACATTTCTATCTAGAAAAGAGTTACTTAACCATTATCATTGATAACTAGATATAAGTAAAGTTTTTTATTTTGAGAAATAAAGATTGATAGCCTGTTAGTTTTGATAATAGCTGATGTTGCCAGTTGCAGGGTTTTATCGATCTCCAGCTTAATGTTGATGAAACAGTAACCCCTCATCCTCCGTCACCGCTCCGCGTTGCTCACGTACATCATGCAGAGCACTTGTGAAGTTATGCTAAACAATGAGAACTGTTTCACATCCTCTTCTACTCTGCACGTTACCGTCCACGTACGTCTTCTCAGTCCTGCACCATCAAAATACGGAGCGGAGCCATACTTTGCTCCACTCCGGTCCGGAGTCAAAATCGCATCAAACAGGAAAAAGTTCACTGAGAAGATCTGGTTTGTTAAATTAAATTATAGTAACGACAGCTCGGTATCTACAAATTAGAGCATAATTTTTATATATTCCCTAAAACTAAGAATGTTTAATTAAATTATCGGATGCAAACTATTGGTACTTCCAACATACCAGGAAGCAGAGTACTCACCTTGATCAAAATGTTTATCTTATACCGAGAGGCTTAAAAGTTTCAACAAATCCAATCAAAACAACTTCCAAGGGCGCATCTGACAACTTAAAAACAAACCTCTTATCGCGGGCATGGATAAAGAGATGCTGAGTTTGGAAGTAGAGAACAATCATAGTTCATACAGACCAATTTTGTATGATCCTAGTTATATCTGTTACAAAAATCCACAACAAAAAGAAAATATTTGGGCAGAAACTGCACATGTGCTGGATGCTGATGGGGATTTTTTTACTTTGTCATATTAAATTAAGCATTAATTTCCGCATGATTTGCTCCTATGAATGTAATAATAATAATAATAATAATAATAATAATATCGCGCATGCTCTCCTCGAGCTCCAGGGAAGTCAGAGCGGAGCAAGATGGGAGGAACCGTGGAGGCTGTAGGCTTTGCTTTGTGCAGGCGGTTTGGAGCGTAGCGGGGCTGAACAGAGCAGTGTGGTCACGGAGGATGTGGGATTTCAGGGTTACAATGTTTTATTGAGTTACTATGTTAGACTGGATCCCACTTTAGCCCCTCCCATTATCTCAAGCTTGTTTTTGTCAAGACAAAGGTTTCCTTGCATCTGTTTTGTAATAAATTTTGAATGATTTTCTTCTTTATTTTCAAATGTTTGATTATCTAAATGCAATGACATAAAACTGTCTTCTAGTGATCTTCTAATCATGGGATATTTATATCACGTGAAACAGCATGTTAAACAACAAAAAATATCAATCAAGTTCTATAATTTTAAAATCTGTATAGGTTTATCCCTTTCTTAGGTTAATGCTGCCAAACTAGTCAGTGAGTGTTGCTAAGATTTAAATGTGTGCGTCACCTTGGACATGATCGCTTTCAGGAACCCTCTGGTTGACTACAGTCACCTCTCCATCACAGTAAGCCGCATGCATCTCAATTTTACTTGCAGGAAACGATCCCTGGCAGATGGGGCAGTCGATAGAGGTTTCAGGGCTATGAGGGACCACATCAGCTTCCAGTTCAGGAGATTCTGATCGTTGAAGACCTTTGTCTTCTAACTTCACCACATCTTGATTCTTCTTGTTCTCTGTTACTTTCTCTAACTCCCCTGCTGTCTTTTGTGCAGCATCTTCTCTGCACTCGGGAGAATTTTCCTCCATGCTTGAATCTGTTTGGGCTAAAGGCAATTACATATGAATTCCCCTCTGGCAATAAATCCATCCAATAGCAAAGCAAACCAGAAGGTTAAATGAGTTGCCTTTACTTTTCATTCTTTGCTCCAGCTCCTGAGGCATGCTTCTGGTCGGAGTATCACCTCTGATAATCATCTTGATCTCAGACAGCTCAGGACTTTTCTGTGGATGCTGAGAGGATATCTGAGAGGAAATAAGATACAAACAAAATGATTATAAGACAATTCAAAGGAAATCTAATTATTTATTTGGACCAACCCTATTATTCCTAAACCACTCTGAACCTAAGAATATTTGTAATCTTTTGCAAGTCAATTGTTGCACCATTAAGGATCCAGTTGGCTAAGAGGGGTATAAGGTATAAAACACATTTAGATTAAAAAATGACAGTTAGGGTCCAGCTGAGTAGTCAACAGGGACCAGCTTTGGATTTGGATTAAAAGTTGTTTTTTTTAATTTACTGAATCATTTCCTTTTGAACAAATTCAAACCATGAAGCTAATGCAAAAACGTGAGGTTTAAATCTGGTTTATTTACATTAAAGGAGTTAAATATGTTCATCATCATTGATGATGATGGAGTTTGAACAATATTCACCGCTATACATTTAAACAGTGAAGCTTAAAGTCAATTGTGTTTTGATGTTACCGTTTGTCTTAAAGCGTTAACGAAGGGTGGGAAAAGAGAATGGGAGTTAGCACTTTATGAAAAAATGACTTTAAATGGATAAACAAAACTTTGAAGAAGCTTGCAAATCAGATCTACAGAGGTGTGTTTTTTAAAGCTATATTTCTTTCTTCACTTAGCTTTCCTTGATTCTGCTTTAAATACCGTATTCTTGACACCTGAGCTATGATGGATGACATGCTGAAGTAAACAATAAGGCTGATAATGATCATGTTTTTTTTTTTTGGCCTGTGTTGAGTCTAATTGGTTCCCAAACATATTAAAAAGCCCTATTCTCCTTGGTCAACCTCTAAATAGTTCTTAAATTTTCTAGTAAGGAGTCACTACCTCCAAATTTAACCTCATTACTGATATTTTTCTAGCTTTTGGCAGGGAGCTGACCTGTGTTTCATGGTCGGTCACCAAGGAAAGCTCTGTCGTGCCGTCGTTGTCGCTCAGTTGAGTTTCTATTTATAAACAGGAGAGATTATTTTAGAGTCAGCAGCTCAGATATGTGAAAACAGAAGTGTTAAATCCATAAAGCTAAACTTCTGTACCTGGACAAACCTCACAGTCGTCAGTATCCATCTGTTCTTCATCGCCGTCCTTCTGCTCCTCATCCTCCTCCTTTCCTTGCTGTTCCTGTTCTCCATCATCATCTCTCTTCTCTTCTTCCTCGTCAAATTCAGGGGCTTTGCTCCTTTTGCTGCTTCTCAGTCTGAGGCCTCTCCTGACAAATAGGACCAAACAAATCAGTGGAATGACTGAACTAATCTTAAAACAATTCAGATATGGAGTGCTAAATTGTTTGGACAAAAAAAAAAAACAAACAAAAAAAAAATCAGTGTGCAATGTTGCAGGTGATATACAAAGACTAAATACACTAAACAATCAATGCAAACTGGTTCGGTTTAGCCACATGTAAATGAGCTAATTGCATTGGCTACTGGCAGTTTTAGGTTGGTTGTAAAAGCAAGTTGAAGCCATGGATATGGAGGTGATAATGATAATGACAAATATTATTTAATGCTAACTTTACATAAATATTTCAAAGTGATATAAAAAAAAAAAAAGATAAAAGTCTCAGATAAATGGAGAGTCAGGGATGCTTACTTACAGGCGCCCCAAGCAGGTTTGATGAACCGCTTTGCAGGTGCTGAGTATTTAGTTTGCATATTCTCCACCCATTAATTTTGCGGGGTTTGATCATTAGAATATGATCTGCATATTCATAAAGGCACATGCACAACAAGTTAGCGGCCGCTTATTTTTGGACATGCAACGGCTTTGAACCTTGAGTAAAGATACAGTTTGCATGTGGAAACAGGTTTGCACCGTTTGTTACAAACAAACCTTTTGAAGATCCGACCCCAAATGCTGTCAAACAACTCTGAATCTCCAATATCAGTGAACTTGTTTTACAGGTGCTGGTCATAAAATTAGAATATCATGAAAAAGTAGATTGATTTCAGTAATTCCATTTAAAAAGTGAAACTTGTATATTATATTCATACATTACATACAAACTCATATATTTCAGATGTTTATTTTGTTTAATTTTGATGATTACAAATGACAACAAATGAAAATCTCAAATTCATCATATCAGAAAATTAGAATATTGTGAAAAGGTTCAAAATTGATGGCCCCTGGTGCCACACTCTAATCAGCTAATTAACTCAAACCACCTGCAAAAGCCTTTAAATGGTCTTTCAGTCTAGTTCTATAGGCTACACAATCATGGGGAAGACTGCTGACTTGACAGTTGTCCAAAAGACGACCATCGACACCTTGCACAAGGAGGGCAAGACACAAAAGGTCATCGCTAAAGAGGCTGGCTGTTCACAGAGCTCAGTGTCCAAGCACATTAATAGAGAGGCGAAGGGAAGGAAAAGATGTGGTCGAAAAAAGTGTACAAGCAAGAGAGATAACCGCACCCTGGAGAGGATTGTGAAACAAAACCCATTCAAAAATGTGGGGGAGATTCACAAAGAGTGGACTGCAGCTGGAGTGAGTGCTTCAAGAACCACCACACACAGACGTATGAAAGACATGGGTTTCTGCTGTCGCATTCCTTGTGTCAAGCCACTCTTGAACCACAGACAGCGTCAGAAGCGTCTTGCCTGGGCTAAAGAGAAACAGGACTGGACTGCTGGTGAGTGGTCCAAAGTCATGTTCTCTGATGAAAGTAAATTTTGCATTTCCTTTGGAAATCAAGGTCCCAGAGTCTGGAGGAAAAGAAGAGAGGCACTTCATCCACGTTGCTTGAAGTCCAGTGTAAAGTTTCCACAGTCAGTGATGGTTTGGGGTGCCATGTCATCTGCTGGTGTTGGTCCATTGTGTTTTCTGAGGTCCAGGGTCAACGCAGCCACATACCAGGAAGTTTTAGAGCACTTCATGCTTCCTGCAGCTGACCAACTTTTTGGAGATGCAGATTTCATTTTCCAACAGGACTTGGCACCTGCACACAGTGCCAAAGCTACCAGTACCTGGTTGAAGGACCATGGTATCCCTGTTCTTAATTGGCCAGCAAACTCTCCTGACCTTAACCCCATAGAAAATCTATGGGGTATTGTGAAGAAGAAGATGCAATACACCAGACCCAACAATTGAGAAGAGCTAAAAGCCACTATTAGAGCAACCTGGGCTATCATAACACCTGAGCAGTGCCACAGACTGATCGACTCCATGCCACGCCGCATTGCTGCAGTAATACAGGCCAAAGGAGGCCCAACTAAATACTGAGTGCTGTACATGCTCATACTTTTCATGTTCATACTTTTCAGTTGGCCAACATTTCTATAAATCCTTTGTTTTTATTGGTCTTCAGTAATATTCTAATTTTCTGATATGATGAATTTGAGATTTTCATTTGTTGTCATTTGTAATCATCAAAATTAAACAAAATAAACATCTGAAATATATGAGTTTGTATGTAATGTATGAATATAATATACAAGTTTCACTTTTTAAATGGAATTACTGAAATCAATCTACTTTTTCATGATATTCTAATTTTATGACCAGCACCTGTATGTTGTGCCATTCAAAGATTTGGATTTGCATGAGACAGCCTCAAGAACAGCCCAGTAAAACTGTTCAACTTCTTACTTGTACATATTAACTTTTGGTCAAATTTAGTGCAATAGCACTGAGCTACAAGCAGCATCACACATTTCAACAGAGGTGTGTAAAACAAATAGGAGAGCATGAAAAAACCTGAAGAGGAACAAATACTTAACTATGTCCTGGGAACTTTAAAACATTGAAAACCATGTCACAACCACAGATCAATTGATTCTGCATTTTTTTTTGTGTGCCTTTTTTTATGTGATAAACATGAGATTCACACGAATTTTGTTTCACTTAATTCCATCATTAGGAGTCCTATTGACATAAATTTCAATTTTTACCAAATAAAATGATCCAAAATAAGTTTTACCTCCGAGGACGACCAGACTGGGGTGATTCAGCAGGTGCTTCAGGGGACAGTGACTTCTAAGGGGGAAAAAAGATTGAGAAAGGTTTTAAGATCTGCTAGATTTGACCTGATTCCTCTTACACATATAAGCTGTTATTAACATTTACACCTGTGTTAAAAAATACAAGAACATTAATGTCTACATTATTCCCTGTATCCCTTTAAATACCTACCTGACGAATTAGTCACTAGAACAGGTAGCAGTCAGTTACAGCATGCATGCTACTGATTGTGTGAATTAGAAATAAAAGAAGTAAAGTAGTAAATTACAGCAGTCTGAGGTGCAATCAGCAAGGTAATTTATTCAGAGAACAGGTGTAAGATGGGAGGCCTTTTATTTCCAAGAACAACAGCCTGTTTACACAGGATTCCCACTGAGAAGCTGAGTATAAACAGCATGCTTTCAAATAAGTTTAGGCAGTGTATACAACTTCAGACATTTGGGTTTAGATGATTAAAGCAAGTGCCTCAAAATGGCAACCAATACCAGGAAGGTGTGGAAAAAATTTTGGAAACTCCCCCATTCATGGACAAATGAAAAGATCAAATGATTTGATAATTAAACAAGGTCTAAAGTTACCTGAGGTTACTGTAACAACTAGAAAATGTCAACAAATGTCTTCAGTAAGCAAATGATGAGGTGACTGTTTGTCATAGAAAATATTGAATGGCAGCCAGATGGTGGTGCAGTTTGAGCACTGTTGTTTTGCAGCAAGAAGGTTCCAGGAACGATTCCCAGCCCAGGATCTTTCTGTTTTCTCTTTGGGTACTCCAGCTTACTTCCACAGTCCAAAAACATGACTTTTAGGCTAATTCGCTTCTCTAAACTGTCTTTAGGTGTGAGTGTGTGTGAGCATGGTTGGGTGTCTCTTTGTTGCCCTGCGTCAGACTGGCGACCTGTCCAGGGTTCACCCTGCCTCTCGCCCAAAGACTGCCGTAGATAAGCACCAGCCACTTCCTGACGGAATAAGTCGGAGAAAATGAATTGACTTGCATGATATGTTGCAGCTATTTTAAAAACTGATTAGGTTGTTTTTTCTGGTGAAAACGAAATCCTCCAACTGCTGCTATGTCCAAGACTCTCAGCAGCCTCTCTGCACTGTGCTACATAAACAACACGGCTCCACTTTGGTTTGGGTGTCCTGTCTTTGGTTTTTGCCTTCGTTAGGATAAAATCTTCCTGAGTTTCTCAGAAACTCCTGATACATATCAAATCACAACGTTATTGAGTCTATTTCAGCATTGTGCACAGGGGGCCTCCTTGAGGTCCAATTATAGAAAACAAAGTGTTAAAGTGCCATCCCCTGAGCCAAAAACTGCGCCTTTAGGGAATAAGATTCTTGTATTCCTTAACGTGCACAGCACAGGGAAAAAAAGGCAACATTGCATCCTGTTTGGTGGACTTCTGTCCACTGAGTCTATCACTGTATTTGCAATTTGTGGTTGATAGGCAGAGGTCCAGCAGCTTTAAAATCTAATTAGTGTTAAAGTTGTCCTGTCTTTCAGGATTTCTTCATGTCCAGTTATTTTCTGACTGTGTTCACTGCCTCTGATGATTTGATGCAGGTAAAAAGAGAGGTTAAATAAAAACAAAACAAAAATCAAAATACGGTTTCACCTGGTTCTAGTCTCAAGTGCAAGACTTGGGAAAGTAATTGTGTGGAGTTCTGAATTAAGGGATGAGTGTTTACAACCATTAAAGCTAAAACAAGATGTTTTGAAGTATTATATGCACCTGAGTTAATGCTCCTGACAATGGGGCTGACAATTTATGATGGCCTTATATGCCTGACCTATCCTGACTAGACCAGACCATTGTCTAGTCAGCTCCATCTCTGCAGAGGGACAGATTTCAGATTTTCCATTCAGCTCTAACACTTAAGAAACATAGAGATCCAAGAGCTGCAAAGCCATTAGGAGGACCACGAAGAAAAGAATGAATCAAGTTAAAAACTAAAGTTGATTGCTTCACCTCTGGCTCTGGCTGGATAGCCTTCCCCCACTCAGCCTTCCTCAGTAGGCCCCTTTGAACTTGTTTCAAACTCTTCTCATAAACCTCCATCTGAGCCACGATCACCTTAGGAAAAAAAAAGAAAAAAGAATGAAATCAGTATGTCTGTGTACCACTGTAATTTGACATTAATGTTAAAATTAGGAGTTCAAACATTCATTATTTGACAGTTTTTCTCCAGATCAAGCATAATCATTTAACTCTTCCATATTCTTAACTGGCTAGAAATTGAAATCCTGGGTTTGTTCTGCTGGGAATCACATTCTTAAACATGCTACAGCCAATTGGATAATAAGTTAATCTTTTATTTATCAGTAGGAATCACCTGGGTGTATGTGTCTGGGTCCAGGCCTCTTGGACAGAAGGGAACCCCCCAGTAGTAGTGAATCATCTGGTCGCCTGATGATTCTCTAGGTGGTGGTGACTCCCTGGTGACTCCCTGTCTGCTCACAGGATAGAGCTCCTGCCCTGAGGTGCAACATGGCTGCTGGCTGTTGGACATACAAGGATTAGTTCTAAGTGATGCATGTTTATCTAGTCTGAAATCCAAGTTCTAGGCTTTCTAACTATAAACATGAATGGAGATGCATATCAGATTGGTCATGAAGGAATGGCTCCAGATTTTAGGTGCTTTAAAGTGACATCTTCCAGAGGATCTGTGCCACTGTGTTTTATAAAATAACTAAACTCAGTAAATATACAGAAATGCTTCAGATTAATGTATAGTTGGATTCAAATTACAATTTAAATAAAGCTGCTTGTTTCCAAGTAAATGTAGAACATCACAAAAGAACAAATGTGTCATCTAACGTGAACTATAAGAGTAAACAAAAGATTAATTCTGGAAGTTCCTCTATTTGTTTAGCATCTCAGACATGTATATGTGTAAAGAGTGAGCATCTATTGAACACAGGCTCTATTCTAGAGACTAAATATACCTTATTAACATGCAGAATGAGCTACTAAAACAGAAAAGGTGCAGGAGCGCCTCTGACAGTAAACATATTACAATTTGAACAAGGATTTAAAAGTTCCCCATGTATAATTTTAGATTTTATTTTGACCTCAAAGGGCCAGTCGGGGATATCTAAGGCAAAATAATCCTGAAGAGGTGGCTAGAATGAGGAGAAATTCCCAGAAGATTCATGATGGGATAGTTAGCTGAATCTTTAAGGCTGACAGCCTGGAAAAGCACAGCAGGGCTCATAATTAATGCTGATGCTGTTACAATATTCTCTAAAAACACATCACATAGGCAGTTGAAAAGTAGTAAGAGAAAAATGAAAAATCTTTGCACACACTGTATACATTATGTACACATATATATGCTAGTAAACGTAGATCCCTTTATGGTCTCCCAATGAAGAAATTAACTCTCTGCATTTAACCCATCCCCTTGGGGAGCAGTGAGCTGCCATTTTGTGGCGCCCGGGGAGCAGTCATGGGGTTAGAGGTCATGCTCAGATACCCAGAGTGGAGGCTGTGGGGATTCTAACTGGTTACTTGCAACCTTCTCAGACACAACCGCACTGTTCCCACAACTAGGCCAACAATCTCCACTCATTCTAAAGAATATAGAAGTTGTAACATTTCTGTGTAATAATGTGTATATCTACGATATAAATAACATTTACGTTTCTCTTATATTTCTCTGGTAGTTGTTTTTCTTTTCTTATTGTTAAAGTAATATTATATAAGTGTGTGAAAAGTTTAATTCCAAACAGGGTAAGAAAAATTCAGCAGCATGCAGCCATGTTTCATGATGGGGGATGGAGCATTGCTTACAGTAACTGTTGACACACAGACCCATGCATCGAGTATAAACCAGGCTTTAAGCAGAATATCATTATAACCCTTTAACAACATTGATTATGTACAATTAAAAAAAATATCTCAAGAACATTATTTTTTTATCTGAACTCCATATTTGCAGTAAATTATTTTTAAAAAATTTTGGACATAAAAAGTTAAATCCTAATTAAAAAAAGCTACATTTGGGAAACATCTTTGAGATTTTAAATTTAGAGCTGTTTTTTTCTTAAAAGGTGAAGAGTTTTGAGGGACACGGGTTTGTTTTTAAGATGTTTGTCATTGAATATGTTTAAACTGTCTTTGTCATTGTCTTCCACAGTACATGATCTAAACTTCACATGTTAGAGATTCTGTATTTGAAGACTGTTACGTACAAGAAAAAAAAAATCTTTGTTGTTACAGAACATTTGTTGGATGTAACCTGTGGTTTGTGATATAAGATCAATGCACCTGCACTTTTGCCCAGCCTCTGACACGTCATTCACGGAGGATCCAGGCTGGCTCACTCTTGGAACAACTTTCTCCTGCTCAGCAAACACGGGGCTAGGAGAGACAACTGGCTGCAGCAGCACAAACAGAAGACAGCAGCAAAAAAGTCTATGTCCATCAATTTTATTAGAATAAAACGAAATATAAAGATTGCAAAAATTTTATATTTTTGTACCGTTTCATCATCGTCATCCTCTTCTGACCAGACCAATGTCATATCGCTTGTCACCTCTTTCTCAGCAGAATTACAGCCTTCGGATATTCCATTCACTTCTAACATTTGAGATTCGTGGAAATGTAAATCAATCTCTGATCAAATCATAACGTCTTGATAAAAATGTCATGCTTCACTATACCTGACTCAGATAAAGGTCTGTTGCACTCAGCTGTTTGAAAGCCATTAGACTTTCTGTCCTTTTGATAAAAAAAAAACAGCAACATATTTAGGCTGAAGTGTTATGAATTAAAACAAAGCAATCCAAATTTTAACAAGCCAAGATGAATGCACCAACCTCATTACCTCAGAATAAGAACAAAAGTTTGTAGATATAATGCTCAAGAAAATAAATTGAACACTAAATAAATTTTTCAATTGAAAATATTAATTCACTACGTAGAGAAATATGCTGAGAAAGCATTAACACGAAAAAATAAATGTAATTTAAAATTATAGTCCCATGGATGTCTGAACTTTGAATTGAATTTTACCATGGAAACTTTCTATTTTTTAGTCCACTCCAATTTACATTAAGTACCTGTACTTTCAACTGCACTACAAAATTCTAATGCTTTTCATTACACGTTCACATCACATTGTTTTTCATTGATTTGTTTAGTTTGTTTGACAGTTTGAAAGTAATCAAATGCTAGATGGGAATTGGTCCACTGACAAACGGCAAAGTGAGGAAGTAAGATTCTCCCCCAATAAGAGACATGATCATTACTGAGCCTCGTTCCAGGGCAAAACACATCTAAAATGGATTCCAGCACGGAGAGCACGCCAAGAGAACTCCACACTCTTACCCTTAGTTAAAAGAAGTGTCCTCTTTAATTGGAGAATTGAAACATATTTAAGGAAGTAAATGTGTTTTAAAACACTTTTACCTCCTTATTTGCTCATATACTGTAGTTGAGAAACCCGTCTGTTTGAGGAACTCAAGTCAGCACTATGAAAACCTGGACTACTCGCCCACCCTGTGACAGTCAGACTCTGTTGTCGACTCATACTAGCCCTAAGTGCACTTGCGGACAGGTGAACACATGCACTCTGCCCCACCAGCAGACTGCAAGAGCAACCTTTAATTGGGGATAGAGAATCCAGATTGGGAAGGATTTCAACCCCCCCAGTTTCATGACATCTGTTTTCCTTAACCTAAAATTCAGTTTAAAAACAACTCACCTTCCTGCAATCGGGGATATTCTGATCATGCTCAGAACCTCGAACCTCTCCTGGTTTTTCCTGCAGCTCAGTCTTCTGTGCTTCCGTCGATCCAAACACTGGGCTCACTGAGCATTCATCTCCCCGTTCAGCAGGTTCTTGATCAGTGTCTGAATTGATTGCTAACATATCCGAGGGAGTTTTAGGGAAAACAGGGCTCTGGGGAGGGCAAGACCTTAAAGTGGGGATAAAACTCTCCTGAGAGGAGAAGCCAAACTCCTCGTTTTCACACGCAGGGGGTTCAGAGGCATTAGGAGACGTCTCATGCTCTGCAGTCCTGCCATAAATTTGACTTTTAACAAACTTGGGGCTCTGCTCTGACTCTCCTCCATGTCCCTCTTCATCTTCTAAGAACACAGGACTTTTGGGACTAGATACTCTGTTACTCTGTGGAAATACTGGGCTTTTGGGCTGAGCAGAATTTTGAGTCGAAGGAATACTGTCCTCAGAAAACATGACAAACCCAGAGGTTTTACATGTTTCTACTAGATCCCCGTTTAACCGCTTGATGTGGACCTCGGCTTTGCAGCCGGTCAGTGGAAAGACTGGAGACATCTGGAGCTGGGAGTCATCTATATGAGTTGAGTCTGAGCTCTGGTTCAAAAAAAGAAGAGACCAAATAAATCATCAGATACAGTTGAATAGACACAACAAAACTGTGACCCACCTGTGGAGAGTCCAGATTGAGTGAGAACGATTCAGGGCTGCAGAGCGAATTCTGGCAGGAAAGGTTCTGAGTCTGAGACAAATCTGGCATCTCAAGCAGAGAACTATCTGTACTTCTTTTCTGCTTTTTACTACTGGTAATAGTTTCATCTCCTATGGAAAAAAACACAATATCGAGAACTCAGAAGTCTGAATTTGATATAAATGTGCTGTTTTTTTTTTTAGATTGATAAAAACTTTCGTCACACAGGAAGTCTAACTCCAGCAGAAAGAGTTCCAAAAGACTTGCCTGAGTTCATGTCGCCCTCTTGTGGCAGCTTCTCTCCATTGGTGTATGAGAGTTTTCGGCGAGAGCCTAAACTTGTGGAGGCGGCACCAAGCAGCGATTTATTTGGAGATTTCAGAGAAGGTTTTTTCTGGCTTACCATCTAAGAGAGAACAAACCCACAGGGTTTAAAGCTACATCCAGCAGAATTTAAAGTTTATTATCACCCTTTTATTGCTTTACCTCTTATCAAAGTTTTTGTCTAATCTTACACTTTGTAGATCTGTTACTCGGAACAGGGAAGATTTTTGAAAAGTGAGTCTGTATTTCAGTTTGATAAAACAATCTCAATAAAGAAAACAGATTTCTACCAGCATTTGAATATGAACACATTAATCTGAGATGCACCATTAAGAAGTCGTACAAAACAATGCATACCTTCTAAAATCTACTGAGACATGCTGAATTTATTCTGAACAAAAATGAGGAAATAAAGTTAAACCTGAACTCACACTCTCCTGAATGGCTTTCATCACATCCTCATCCTCCCGCTGCTGTCTCAGTGCTGTATTGCTGGCTTCCTGTTTGCTTAGTTGCAAGGCCAGGTCCATCATCTCCTCCTCCGTCATCTCTGAGGAGCAAACAAAGGAGAGGAGAGAACCAATATGAACTATTCTAAAGTCAATACATTAAATAATACATTTTTGGTAAAATCCATCTGCTCCAATGAGATAAGCATTTCCTAACTTAATAAACAGTTAGCATTAAGTATTTTATCAAAATGTGGCTGAAGGATCATATGTCGGCCTACAGCATCTCTCTGTCGGGTTTCTGAACAAACGAGCAGACAGAGATTTAAAGAAAACTGAAATTCAAAGGAGGTAAGTTGGCAGTGCTTGTGAACAACAGATTATGTCATCAAGAAAATGTAACTGTGAAGACACAACAGCCAAATGCATTTGAGGCAATACATGGGGATTTTAATCACGCCTCTCCCTCTGCTACACTGCCATAGTTCCAACAGGTTGTCAGCTGCTGTACCAGAGAAAACAAAACTTGTTGTTTGTGAAGCATTTGCGTTGTTGTTTGTTTATGCAAACGTCAAGGACTCCTACATCTGTGAAGTAAAACCTCCTCTTAGGAAATCAGGTCTGCTCAGAGTAGCCCCTTTATAAGAGAAAACCTGCAACAACTCGATGAAAAAAAAAAAAAAAAACCTATGAGTTACCGCAACATTTAATTTATTTTGGGGATAAATAAAGTACTTTTGAATGGAATTGAATTATATGTCAAAAGCCAGGTGCATCAGCATCATATTTCAGCCTGTTAGTGATACTAGAGAGATTTTACCTGTGCTATGTTTGTAACTAGAACAATACACTGACTTAGAAGCGTAACAGCTTTAGAAACTGTGCTTTTAAACACATCTCCTTACATGAGAAAAGTGCTGTGAACATATGAATCCTAGTGCATTCAGACTGCCATCGATTGACCCTGACGCATCTAGGGAGGTGAACACATGCGCTACTGAACCGCCTCACAAAGAAAGCCTGCTTTGAAAGCAGGGGTGAAGTGACCAAGTTCAGAACAATTCTTAAATGGCTGGTCTGTTGAAATAAACCGACCAGTGGTCATAGTTTTTTTTTTTTTTTTTAACTAGGGCTGAAAAAATTATCGGATTAAGTCAAAAAAGGTTTATTGAAATAATTGTCAACTAATTTAGTAATCGATTAATCATTAACTGGACTTTAGAGACTAAAATATACCTTTAGCTGACAGAGTGACCCACCTTGAGCATCAATTATAACAATATTGCCAAAATAAAAATAATAATATGTGCACATTTTGCTTTTAAGTAAAAAAAAAACAAAAAACAAAACTTTTTCGTCTCTCAATAGGCTCCATCCAGAACTCCTGAAGTGGAAAATGTTTTGTTTTACCTGGTTTAATTTCATAAAAAGTCTTAAATAACATTTTGCTATCAGATTATTAATCGATTAAATTAAAAAATAATCGAAAAACAATTTTTGTCGATTTACAAAATAATTATTAGTTGCAGCACTAGTTTTAAAAAATAAAACGCATAATTGCTGCACCAGTACGTACCCACCTCACTGGGGCTGCAGGTAGATCAGAGTTGCTTCTGCAACAATCTGGTAGTTTGCATGTTAAGGGGAGATATAAGTGTCACTTCTCACATGGCAAAATGAACAGAAGAGAAAGGGGTGGGCCTTATTAAAATTAGCAAAGAGACAAAAAAGAAAGTATGTAGCATTAAAAAAATTAAATCCCTTCCCTGACGCTTAAAAAAAAAAAACCTGGTGAGAACTCTGTAATATAACTCAATAAACGACAAAAGATTCAGACAGAAAGTCTGTTTACATTTTATTACACTATTTACATTTTGATCACTGCTGCACTTTATAAATGGAAATGTTTATTTCACTGCTAAGCTGTTCATTCACTGTTGAAAAAGCTGTATGCATCGCAATTTTGTTTAGTAAGCACTCTGTGTGTACAAAATGAGAATAAAGTTTGCCTAAATCTAAGATGCAGGGCATTCTTGAAAGTTCATTTATTCACCTTTTTGTTCGACTTGGCTATCCCTCTCCTTCCGTCGTTTCTCGCGTGCCGAGGATGTTGAACGAAGTAAAGATGGGAGCTCATCCTAAAAAACAGATACTATTTCAAATCACAGATTTAAATCTGCAGCTTAATCAGTGAAAATGTTTACGGCTGAGTTCTTATAGATGTTCAAACTATGTAAGTTTTCCTTCTTAACATCTCTACCCTGCTATCCGAGTTGGCAGAGGCTCTAACCTCCTCTGTGCTTTGATCTTGTTGCTGGTTGTCAACAGAGATGTCCGGGATCAGCTCCTTCCTCAGAGCCATCCTGCTCTGCTGTCGAGTCACTGTGTCAAGAGAGGAAAATCAACTTTATGTAGTCAGCACATGTTTTCTGTTTAAACGTAACATTTTGTAAAATTACGAAATGTGACATGAAATTTGAAAATGTGTCAAGTAAGATAATCACAGCTTCTGGCAGCATGCTACTTCACATTAATTATATTTAAATTAAAAAATAAGACCTGCTTTTCCCACAAGTCAATTTCTTTACAGAAATGAATATGAAAAATATCATACTATTGTAAGTTTGAGCCTTTAAAAAATTTTTGTTTATATGAAATTGAGTGAAGTGGCCTATAACTTCTTTGTGTGTCAATATGTGTCCTGTATTTATATGAGATTTTTGTGTAACTATGTGGAAAAGCCTGTTAATGGGGCCCTTGTTAAAGAAGCCATCAGTTTGGACAAATGATCAAGTTGTTCTATTCCACCTGATGATGACGATGAAGAGTGTCCTCTTCTTCCTCTCATGTAAGTGTGGGATCATCCAGCCTGGAGCACCAACTGACAGGGGAGGCCCAGAAACCTCAACCCGGATAAATTAATATTTAAAAGCGTTATACTGTAAAACAAAAGTAAGCACTGAACGGTAACTGACAGCGCGCGAGGACAGGGGCTGACATGACAACAAACTGAACATACAAGACAATAAATATCAGCAACTAAAGTTCGTTTTCTCTAGATTATATTAAGATAACTATCAAGTTAAAGTCCGAAATAACGTATTACTGTTTTTATTTTGAACAAACAGCACCGAAAAGAAATGCAAAGTACAGCAATTTTAGTTTAAAAACACTCACAGTAGATTTTTCCTCACTTTCGCGGCGCCATGTTTGTTTCGCTCCACGCTACCACGTGACCAGTACGTCAGACGTCAGTTACGCTTCCGTCAAAAGTCTAGTTTCAGTATTTGCTGACCAACAAAAAAACAAAATTAAAAAATATATTATTATATATTATTAAAATAATTCATAAGTTTTACCCGTCTAATGATCATATTGTCAAAAAAAAATAAAAAAGACATTGATGTACTGTGCACTTTTTGTTCTACGAGTGTTGAAACAGTAACCCATTTGTTTTGGCATTGCTCTTTTGTCCAAAATCTCTGGTCTGACATTTGTAAGTTGATTGCAGAAAAAATTGAGAAAGACTTTAAGTTATTCTGGAAGGATGTCCTTTTTGGACTTTATGACCTCAACAGTACTAAGACTAGACCAAATGGAACTTTCATTATTAATCTGATTATTCTCTTGGCAAAATTCTACATTCATAAATGTAAGTTTACACATTCCAAAATATAATTTATTGCTTTTAACAATGAGGTCAAGCAATATGTCAACACGATTAAGTATTCTCTTAATCAAAAGACAACAAAAACTGTAAATGTGTGTAAACAATTTAATATCTTTTTGTAAATTGTACTTTCCCTGGCAAAATGTGAGGATTTTCATTTTTGTTTTTATTTTTTTGTTAAAAAACCAGAAATGTTGGATACAGCACAGTGTAATATTTTCTCAATGGAGACGAATGTTTGTATTTTTGTAAAGTGTGCAATTATTGAATAAAAAAAGAAATAAAAAAAGTCTAGTTTCAGTTTTTGTTATCAACAGCTGTCCTTCAAGTGAAATTAAATGCATCCAAACATTTTTGGGTGGCTTATGATAACCTTTCCCCTGTTGTCTTTTCGCGAAATATAAATTCGAGAGTTATTCCCAACAGATGTTTACACTTTTAAATATGTATGCAACTTTAAAGCGAATTTAAAAAGAGAATATATGATTATTGTTGAACCAGTGACGACTTTTTTCTAATGCAGTGGAATTGGAGAAAAGTAGTTGTCTCTAATTTATGTATAAATCAGCTCTCTCGTTTCTCCATATTGTTCTTCCACGTATTTTATGCAAAAATATTTTAACAAAAAAAATCCCATGAAATCGGGAGAACTACGGGTACATGCAGTTACTGCACCCACGCTGTACAAAACGCTGTTTGTTAAGTTCTTAAAATGACCAAAGCATTAACAGAATCATGCTAGACATAGATATCTCCAAAGCAGGGGCGGAGCTAGATGGGGGGTCGGGGGGGGGGGGGGGGGGGGGCATGGCCACCCTTAGCCAATCATTGGCCACCCCTGTGGCCAGCCCTACCATTTAATTCCCTCTTATACAGATGGTGGCAAAACATTTTAATCTTTTATATATTAACAATTACTTGACAACAAAAACACTGTGGTTAATTCTGCACATCAATATACTAAAATTAAAGATGATAAATACAGAATTACTACTCTTTTCAGAACTAGATTTTGTATTATATAGGGTAAAGAGAAAATTATGGGTCTCTGCAAGTCATCTAGGAGTCTTCAGTGAAATCATAGATAAATAAAAATTTTATTAAAAACTTATTAAATGATCAATTTATGTAGATACCAGTATTTGTAAATATCAATCTTATGCAGAATAATTACTGATAAAAGTAGGTAAGTAATGACAATGGAAAAGATGTTTGCCCAAAACTTAAACCTTAAAGAATTTTATCCACTATACCTTTGTTTGAGCCAAATGCTTGATTTATGATAGAATATTTAATATTACTAGTTTACTATTTTTGTCTGATTTGATATGATATATATGAATATGAAATATTTTGGTTTGAAGTATAAGTTGACTTAATTGTGAAATAATGAATTTGTTTAGTTGTATTTTTGCTGCTGTGGATAATTTACGCTGTTTCTTACCTCCACCCCTTCATTATATACAGGTGACTGCAGCACCTGAAATATATTGGAGTTGGCTATTGGGGTCAGGTGAGCTCTTGCATTCAGGCACGCAGCCATACAGTTTTTGACGGCTATTGATTCTTGTTGTTTTTTTGAGTGGCATAAAAAGGAACAAAATGAGAAATATGATCCACCTGTCACGTCATATTGCGGTAATAAATTCTAAGTTTGTTTTTATTTTGAAAAATAAAGCGTTTTGATCAAGAGGAAAGAAATTTTGTTGGATTGCATGGTCACTTTAAAAAACATCTGACAGAGCTGAAGTGAGTCTAACTTGGATGCTTCTGAACCAACAGCCATGCGCATCTTTATTGGAAAGATTGTGCTAATGCCTTTTATTTAGAAAGCACAAATATTTCAATATATTCCTCTCTTTGTTAGCAAATGCTGTGGGAAAGTATAGTTTGTCTTTATTTAGAAAATATGGATGTTTTGCTCGTTATTTTCCTGTTGGAACAGTATAAATTGACTGTGAGGTTTTGGTGCCTATTTACTTTCAGCCACCCCTCAGTGTACATTGGTTATTGCCTGGCCACCTTTATTTAAATTTCTGGCTACGCCTCTGCTCCAAAGGGCTCCACAGTCGTGTGATGGTTGGCCAATTCGATTTGTACCTATTTTCCTGTACTAACAGTGTTTGGGCAGTAGGTGACAGTCAGAGTATAAGGAATCCTGCTGTGCAAGTTCTCAGTCAGGACTGTTTATAAAAGCATTCTGATGCATATTTAGGGATCTATGTTAGCTAAGAAAGAATTGAACTTGTTTTGTGGTTGTATAAACTGACCCGTGACTAATCAACTGAATTAACCTACAAATATTTGTTAAGATAAGCAGAAACACATATATTTATACATCCATCTTTTTTATTTATTGTATAAATTGAACCTAACTTCCCATATCTAACTCTTCCAACACTCCTCCAAATTAAAAGTTACATAGAATCTGACAAAAAACCAACATGTCAATGCATGCTTACTGTCTATCGCTTGAAGTTTTATTTCCACAGAGATTTATTATCTACTTATTATTATTCTTTAACTTTTTTTTTTCCCCATTGAAAATCAAATTTCCTTTTGCTTTTATGTTATTCCTTTTTTAAATATTTTTCTTTTTTGTTTTCACTCTTTCACTTTTTTTAGTCTTGCAGTTTCAGCGCCCACTGATAAAGATACACTCTTATTATAATGTGCTCCTGTCTTTTGTTTTTGTTTAATCTACTTTGTTACTACATACTGCAGAAGCTATAAATATAAAAAATCTTCTTTATTTTTACACTTATTTTTTTTCTTTCTACAACCATGTTTATATAGTGGCCCATATTATATATATATATATATTGTTATATGCTATTTTCTTTTAACCAAATATATTCTAAAATGGTTCAAATAGCTCTTTGAAGCACATAGAGTAACAAAACCTACACAACAACTCATGCTTTTTATGGTTCATCTTAAAAGATACTTTTATTTTCAATGCACATTAAATTAAAAAATATGATGCAGCCGCAGAAACCCTATTACTTCAAGGTATACACACTACAGCCTCTGATTTTACTGTGAAGAAACTATTTGTTTTGGATTTAAGATATTTAGATTAATATTTTCCAATTTTCAGACTAAAATGGAAATTTGCAATTCTTAAAGCAAATACATTTTTGTTTCCAAATTCAATAAACCTTAGACTGATTTGTCTAATTATCTTCACTTCTGTAATTTTTACTGACATGTAGAATATCGACATCTGGACATATTTTTGACTGCCTAGTGGTCAGAGCTCATCGCTTTATTGGAGAATCCATCATAGATTCCCAGGAGCAGAGGAACTGGTAGTTTTCTATCTACAGCTCTTGCATTTCTATGTTCTTATGTCTTGTGGTACAGTGCTCCACCAAACTGGAAAAATGCACAGATCATCACCTACGATCTCCTGGTGAACATTTTGGACCCATTCTATTGATGACAATGATCTCAGTGAAAGTTGTGTGAAAACTCACTCTCTTTAGAGGACACAAACTCACTCAGGTCTTTTAGCAGCTTTTATTTAGTCTTCTTTTAAAGTTATACGGTGGGTTTGCTTTAGAAAAAAAATAAAAATCTCCAGTCATCTGTTGGCCGGTCTTGTCATTGAGGATTTTCTTGGACAGAATTGCCTTATTTTTCCTCCATCTTAAGTTAAACTCTTTATTCTTTCTAAATCTCTTGTTTGTTTGTTTTTCGTCTAAGGATCTCTAAAGTTTAGATATCCAAACATTTTCTTTTAGATGAAAATAACAGTAGAGAAATATTTTTGATAGTAAAACCCAAATAGAAGACAGCAACATAAACTGTAAAGAGATAAATAAATAAATAAATAAATAAATAAATAAATAAATAAATACAGACTAAGTAAAAATAAAAACTGATGCCAAATTTTATCTGTCATTTAAACAGAGAGAGGTATCCTCAGGGAGAGTTCAAACCAGCACATAAAACTTGAAAACTTTAAAAAAGTTAAATGATAATCCCTTCAAGTAATTAACATAGAATTAGACTTCAATAGAATTCAACTTTATTGTCATTACACTGTTACAAGTACAAAGTAACGGAATTAACTCTCTGCATTTAAGCCATCCCCTGGGGAAATGTGGGCTGCCATTGTGTGGCTCCAGGGAAACAGTATGAGGTTAAGGGTCTTGCTCAGGGACCCAGAGTGGCAGTCTGTGGGAGTGGGGCTTGCACTCAAATCCTCTGGAACCCAAGCGTAATGCCCTAACCACTAGGCCCCCACTCCTCTATACAAACATAACCTACCTAGCACACATTTAAAAAGAAGCGACTGAAACACAGAGGGTTTAAATTACTACAATCAACTTACAAATGTATCAATGATGTGACAAAATGGCCCTGAAGTGCATTCATCCATGGTCAATAAATGGGGCACTGCTATTTAACTCCTCTGAGGCAGGGCCCAATTACTAAACAGAATCCTAAAGTAAGTAAGCGCAGGACATAGATGTCACATAAGTAATACCTACTGATAATGCAAACCTTAAAGTGATCTTTTTTTTTTTACCAATATAGAGGAATACATCCATTTATGCACCTAAAACAGTTTTATCTAGTATAGTTGTAGCTCATCTCTTTGACAAAGGAACATTTGAAAAAAAAAAAAACTTTTGCTCTACTAGTTACTGCATGAATTCAAGGTTTACTGAATTCAGGGGTTACTGATATTTGTGTGTTGAGTTAAAAATATATGTTAGGAGACAGAATTATGTATTTCATTAATTACTGGCTTTCTACTTTGAAACCTGTAAAGACATCAGTTTTCACCATGATTGCAACGTAACATAATAATCCACACATGCCAGGTCTCGCGCTACTTATCTGATCCAAATGACGTAACAACTAATGTCAAAAAGAAAAATTATCTTAGGTAATCTGAACTAAAAAACATTTGTGATATTTTAAATATCTCCAACTTAATTTTATTGTTTTTTTTTAAAGTAATCTTTATTTATAAAGCTCTTTTCAGTGTTTTCTTTTTTTGGTAAAAAATTTTTATCCAGCTCTGAATTAGAAAAAGTGATACGGTATGTTTTTAAAGTTATTGTTTATCTGGTTTTCAACTGGTCCTTATTCAGCTTTATGAAGCTGCTAGAAAACTAGCATTTAACATCAGTGCGACAGTCCACAAGCTCATCTGAAATATTGTTATCCTGTACAAGAGCCAAGAATTTAAGAATAGACTAGATGTTACACATATTATTGGAAGAAATATAGAGAACTCTGGAAGTGTCTGTAAAATGTCCCCAGAAAAGCACAAAGAGGGATTACAGAAAATACTGATCAAGATAACGTCATATATACAAACTGGAAGAAAAACAAATGTCTGTGACGGAAAATATTTAAAACATAAACAATATTATCTGTAAGAGGCAGATAACATATTGCGTTACATACTCCCATCTCTATGAAATAGAAGGAAAAAAAAGAATGTTATAAAGTTCTAAGATAAATTTTAAAATACATAAATGTCCACATGTCTTTTAATTACTTCTAAGGATTAAAGAGATTTAAAGATTCTTCTTTGGAACCAGGGACTTGCTGTTGTTCCGGGCACTGAGCAACTGGACGGACAGGTTTTTCAACCTCATCAGCTGCAGGTCGTATTTTTTCAAAGTGCTCAGCTGATGTAAATCTGTTGGCAGTTGCAACATGCAGCTCGCTGCTTCTTAAAATCCTCCGCTCTACATAGCGCATGGTGCAATGTTTCCACAGCCACTTCCACATAATGTAGATGAGCTCTACAAAGTTGAGAACTATGCACAGAATGGAAGTACAGCCCATGATGAAGAGGAAGATCTTCTTCTCTGTAGATTTGGATATATAGCAGTCCACAGTGTTAGGACAGGGTTCCTGACTGCACTGCAGCAGTATTGGCACCCCAAAGCCATTGTACAAGAAGTAAAAAGCCAGCAAGAAGCCCACTTCAAAGCCCGTCTTAAAGAACAGGCTAAGGATATAAGTGCAAAAAAGACCCCCATCAATGCTGCCTTTGTCCTCATAGAGCTTTTTCTTGTGCTTGGCCTCCCTACGCTCTCTGTAAGCAACATGTAGGGCCACCAGCAGGGAGGGTGTAGATACCATGATGAGCTGCAGAGCCCAAAGGCGAATCTGAGAGATGGGGAAGAAGAAGTCGAAGCAGGCATTCTCACAACCAGGCTGCTGGGTGTTACATACAAAATCCTTCTGCTCATCCTTCCAGACCTGCTCAGCTGCAGCCACATAAACCAGGATCCTGAACAGAAAGACCACAGTGAGCCACATCCGACCAATGCAGGTGGAGTGCTTGTTAACCCCACTGAGAATCTTCTCCAAAAATCCCCAGTTCATTGTTCTCTTGTCTCCTGTAAGGAAATAAACCACCAGTTAGATTTAAAATCACACAAAGCAGATTTAAAGTATCAATATCAATGAATCACAAATGCAGTCATTGTTAGTATTCTCCTTTTGCAAGTGTTGGATTTCAGGAAATTATTAATGAAAATAACCTTAAGCTAAATAATGCAGATTATAATAAGCAATGATTTACTTATAATCCTAAAAAATGATCACATCCAGAAGTTCTGGAGTTTGGGTGATATCTCATATGGATCCTACAGATGTGTGTTGGTAAAATGCAATAGTAAAAAGTCATCTACAATACAACAGGTGCTTCCCAATACTTTCCAAGGGAACAGGAAAGTATTTTCTTATAATTTTACCTTAGTTATTTTTACACTGGTGGGAAAGATTATTCAAATGCGGAAAACATTTAAAACAGTTTTTGATGTCCTAAAAAAAAACTCCCTTAAAGCTACAGTGTGTAATTTTCAGCGACATCTAACGTCCAGACTGCAGACCGCAGCAACATGAACATCTCCCCCCCCACCGCTTCTCCCCCCCAACAGTACGGCGAGCGTTACGGGACAAAATGTCTTCCACGACGTCCACATCACCTACCTTCTCAAGTGATGAGGTTTGTTTACATAGATAATTTTACAGATAGTATTTCATTAGTCTGTGTAGGGTATAGATTTCATGTAGACTTAAACAATTTGCCGTAGTTACTTTCGAGCGTAATGGGCGATCTCGCAATCGCTAGTTTGTTGGCTCTGCGCTGCCGTAGCGCAAAGATGTCTGCCTCCATGGCTGCGAGACCCGCTCCTATGTAATTATAAATAACGAATTCTAAGGCAACGCAAATATTAAGGTTAAGAGGCTGAGCTCGTAGATGATGATAAATAACATAGTTATGTATAATATATTACATTTCTGACTGTATAACCCTGTAATTATTACACACTGTAGCTTTAAAATCAGAGAGGGCAATGTTTAGAGGAACTATGCTAACTTTGCTAAACTAAGATTTCTGAACCAAATGTCAATAACCCAAATCTTGAACCACCCAAGAATAAAGCATGTTTTAGATTAAAGAAACATTTTCTAATACCCATGTTGAGTTCTCTTCTAACTTCTGGATGGAAAGACATTTGGTTTCATAATGTTCAGCCCCTATAACTCCAATATGGCTTATTTTTGTGACAGGAAAAAAAAAAAAAGAAAACAACTATGGCTTATTTGGAATGGTTTAACTTAATGGCTTCAGATTAAGATGAGACCAGGGTTAAACATTTTTAGACAATATTGTTGTGTCTTGCTATGGTTAAAAATAAACACCAACATCTCATCAAACACAGTGGTGGAAGAGCTATGATTTGATTTTACAAGCAGAGATAAATTGCAACCATCTGCATTTTTCACAAAATTCTTAAAGCCAGACACTTTAAGAAACTTTTTTTCTGACGTTAAGGTTAAAGTCTTTGCTCATACATTATGTCCCTTGAACTGTCATGTGAAGTGGTCACAGTCCTGACCTATGTGGAAGTAAGGCCTAACGATGCTTTAGATGCAACTGCAAAAAATATATCAATAATGTTGAGCTGCACCATTTATATAATTTCCTGACTTTTGCTAAACGACTTTCTTCCTCATTAAAGTCCCTGCAACTACTGGAAGTATAACACCGGCTATCTGAAAAAAACAGAACAAAACACTCAGCTGAGGTGTGGAACTTTCTAGAAATGGGGATGTTTGGACCAGATTTTTATAAAACAGTTAATTGTGACAAAAACAGTGTTCACTTCCATGCCTCTTTTAGTTCCACAATCTCAACTTGATATGTGTTTCACAGTCTTTAACATTACAGAGGGGCTCATCTTCATGCACAACTGGTACAATGGAATGGCTTGAGCAGAGCAGACTGAACTAAAACCTGAATTATACAACATTTGATAACTTCTAAACCCTTAGAGATAGTTGTCTCTGTCTTTCTTTTCTATGCTGCACTGCCAACTATTCAACGAAAAAATGTAAACACGTGAGAGATGGAATTTGAAGACTTGAAAAGGAAAGAGAAAGCAGCAAAAATACTGCTACTGTAACTACGTATAGTTTTACTTTTGGCCTAAACATACATTTTTATGTATAAGATAAATAACTTTGAGGCATCTGTATGTATAAATGTAACTTCATATTATAATAGAATAGAAAAGAATAGAACATTTCTTTATTTTCCTACAATGGAGAAATTCTAGTCTTACAGCAGCAAAAAAGATAACAGAGAAAAATGCCACACAAATGTGGAAATTGAAAAGTGTATAGGAGTAAAATAATAGTGAAGAGCGAAAAAAATAAATATACTGTACTTTAAAGTGTTTTAACAATATAAATACTGTGCACCTGGAGAATAAATAACCAATATACAGCTATGGACATTTTTACAGTAATGGATATTTGAAAATAGCAACATCAGAGATGTTAAACTGAATCTTCTCATGGAACTGAGTAGCATCCATCCAGAATGTCATATTTATTTGGTATTTACATCCAACTCAGTGGGTATTTCATGTATAAGCCAAGTCTAGGTAAACTGAAAGAATTAAATTGGCAAACAATGAAATACATTTTCTACCTTGCTATGCTAGTTTCTCTAATATGAGACTAATATTAGAATATGAGTCAAAGTATAGTTATTCATACATCTCCTCATTACAGAAAGTGAACAAATATGATCCTGAAACAAAAGTTTTCCCACTGAAGACAACCTGTTTAATCTATAACTGAGATCTCAGGTTATAGAAATTAATTGGTTCTCCACATTACCGTTTGATGTGTTTGGAGTTTATCCCCTTACAGCAAACATCTTACTAAATATTTCATTTGGATCCATACAAAAGTTCAAATTTATGTATTAAGTTAGGCAGAATGTAGAACTTACCAGTTATCTCCTGATGGGAAGTTTATCGTCAGACGACCAAGGTGATTCTGAGTTCTTTAGCCTGCTCACCTGCAGAGAGCCGTACTCTACCTGAGCAAACTCCTGACTTGCAGCCGCGTCATATCAGATTCACACCAGTCTTGAGTTTCCTTTTCTCTGCAGCACACGGCATTTTTAGTGAAATATGCCTCACAGCGGCAGCCTCAGAGCACACCACCTGCTGCAAGTGGGTGTGTACAGTGACAACATCATAATGCAAATAAAATTCATTCAGGGCCCGAGCTGTGTGGTGCTGTCCATCCACCTTCACCTGCCTGTGGCGACAAGCTGATGACAGAGGGATCGTGTTACTCTGCTGATAAGTAAATAATACATGCATCCTCCTCAGGCAGTGGTAGTACTGCAGCTCTTCTACTAAGGTGTGGCTGCATATGATGCAAATACATTATCTGATAGACCCTCTTTGAGCCTAGACACCTACAGGTAGAAATAAAGGGTTTATTGCTCCAAAGGTGAACTTCGAAGCCAAATAAGTACATTTCTGACTTATTTGTTCTGTTTTTGTTCAATTTAGTTCTATCCCTACAAAAAACCTCAGCCGAGAGTATAAAGGTGCATTTTCATAAATTAAAGTATAATCAGAAAGACGTTAACTAGAATAGTTATTTCAACTAGTCAAAGTCATATGTAAGCCCACTGTAAATAATCATTCTTTATTATGGAAAAAAGAGGCATGCAATGATATGAAAAGGCCTTTGTCCCATCAGTTTTTTTTATCAGTTTTGTTTGTTTTGTCAATCTCATGAAACAGATCATTAAATACATTTTGATTTTGGATAAAGACAAGCTGAATGAATATGGAAAGCTGTTTCTGTATAAGACAATTCTTAGGTAAGAAAATCTTCCCAAACCAACTTTCCACTCTGTGAAAAAGCCATTGCCCTATAACCATGCCATACTAAGTAATAACATCTGAAATCAAGAGTTTTTGTGACCTCACAAACCACATTACCACTGAGGAATTTATTTTTATTTCATTTGCAGGCATGTTGTAATCCAACCAGTTTGGGGGTCATTTTGCATATGAATTACAGGTCATACAAATATGATTTTAAATCTGAAATTTTGTCCAGTTCACACTAGAACATTGGTATTTAGAATCATTTAGAGATGACCTGGCAGGGACTTAAGGTGGCTGGTATTTTTCCTGCAGGATGTTGTAGTGAAGCATACTCCAACCACCAGACTACATACTTGATGCTTGGCTGTCTGTTTCTTTTAGAATCGATGTAACTCCCATTTCAAAAAGGTCCACTTTTCTGTTATCATTCCAGAGTGTGTTGTCCAAGTCTTTCAGACCATCAGGATGGTTTTAATAAATTTCATATATGCTGTTTTTGTTCTTTAAAGACAGCAGCGGTTCTGGCCTTAGAAATATCGTATTGATGCTGACCCTGCTCTGTCTTTCTTGCTCTTGAGAGTTGAACTCCCTGAACCAAGGGAGGTCTTCAGAGTTTCAGATAATTATTTTACAATATTTTGGGTAATTGGTTCGGTTCAACACAACTGTATGCTAATTTTCCGGCTGTGGATAGGGCTCTCACTTCTACTGGGCTGACATCTAAAACTCTTACATGTGACTTGATAACCCGTTACACATTGGTGATTATAAATCTGTTTTTGTTTTTTTTTATGTTGTTTTATGAGTATGTTAAGCCTCCTGAATAGTTAAACCATTTTCATATCTGCAGGTCAGGTTATAGTCTGGCTGAGTTTCAGGGTAAACATTAAGTTAAATTTTACAAAAGAAAAACTTGTTTAATCAAAACCGATTCATGAATTAACAAGAGGGGCAGTTTTTCTTTCACAGATTACAGTGTTGGTTGGATAGATTTTCTCTGATAAGGAATAAAATCATTATTCTAGAACTTCTTTTATATTTACTTAGCTGATTTTGTTTTCAATGTCAAATTTGTTTGATGTTCTGAAACAGTGACATATGACCAAAAAGTAAAGGCAAAAGAAACCCATAGGTGGCTAATAGGGTTTTACACTAAGTTGTTTTTTATGATTATGGCTTACTGCTACTGAAAACTGAAAAGCCAATAAATATTATGCTATAATAAGCACCAACATGGGGAAGACTACCACTTGATTTGTGCTTGGCCAGCTAGACCATTGTTTTAGAAGCTGCAGTTATCAGTCCAAGAATGTTACCCGTATATATATGTATTTTTACACCAAAATACCAAGATTTTTCTGCATACTCAAAAGCACCAATAGTTTTACTCTTCTAGTTGTATGCTTCATGTTGGGATACATTTTTCCTTTCGCTTCTCATATCTTTTGCTCTTTCCCATCCTTTTGCAATGCCATCGTTTCTTCTTGGCAGAGGTTAAGCTCTGTTTCTGTCCTGCATCTTCCTGTATTTGAATTATTCTGGGAAAACTTGTGACATTATGTGTCAAAGTGCAGCTATATATGTGCATTTTTTGAGCTCTCAAGATGTATTCATCAGACTTGTTATTGATCATCCATTTTATTTAAGTCAGATTTGGTTTTATCCTACCAATTGCCAGATTCCAACTTCTTCTGTTAAAAGACTTCTGAGATGAAAGTCAACCCCTTATTAAGACTTCAAAACAGATAACAGTGTTTCTGAGTTTTAAATCAAACCCATCCAATCAGACCTCAGAGTTCAGTTATTAACAATATTTACCCCCCACCAAAAAATTTTCATATGGTTCATCTCATGACATCCAGCAACCAGATCTGGTCCTGATGCAGAGCAATAACATTACCACTGATGCCCTCTGGTGGCGTAAATGTGTTAAGGTCAGCAGACATAGCCCCCCTAAGCAGGGGTAACCAAATAAAAATCAGGTTTTCTGGTTTTCAGTTGGTCCTTATTCAGCTTTAAGTATTTGCTAGAAAACTTGCATTTAACATCAGTGTGACAGTCCACAATCTCATCTGAAACATTGTTATCTTGTACAGGAGCCAAGAATTTAAGAATAGACTAGATGTTACACATATTATTGGAAGAAATATAAAGAACTAAAATGTTCCCAGAAAAGCACAGAGGGATTACAGAAAATACGAATCAACATAACGTCATATATACAAACTGAAAAAAAAAAAAAAAAATCTGTGACGGTAAATATTTAAAACATAAACAATATTATCTGCAAGATGCAGATAACATATTGCGTTACATATTCTAATTAAATCCCATGTATCTATGAAATAGAAAAAAGAAAAAGAAAAAACTAATATAATGAAGTTTTAAGATATGTTTTAAAAAACAGAAATGTTCACATATCTTTTAATTACTTTTCAGGATTAAAGAGATTCTTCTTTGGAACCGTGTACTTGCTCTTGTTCCGGGCACTGAGGAAGTGGACTGACAGGTTTTTCAACCTCATCAGCTGTAGGTCATGTTTTTTCAAAGTACTCAGCTGATGTAAATCTGTTTCAGGTGAAACATGCAGCTCGCTGCTCCTTAAAATCCTCTGATCTACAGTGCAATGTTTCCACAGCCACTTCCGCATGATGCAGATGAGCTCTAACAAGTTGAGGACTATGCACAGAATGGAAGTACAGCCCATGAAGATGAGGAAGACCTTCTTCTCTGTAGGTTTGGATATATAGCAGTCCACAGTGTTGGGACAGGGTTCCTGACTGCACTGCAGCAGTATTGGCATCCCAAAGTCATTGTACAAGAAGTAAAAAGCCAGCAAGAAGCCCACTTCAAAGCCCATCGTAAGTCAACCCCTTATTAAGACTTAAAAACAGATGACAGTGTTTCTGAGTTTTAAATCAAACCCATCCAGTCAGACCTCAGAGTTCAGTTAATAACAATATTTACCCCCCACCGAAAAATGTTCATATGGTTCATCTCATGACATCCAGCAACCAGATCTGGTCCTGATGCAGAGCAATAACATTACCACTGATGCCCTCTGGTGGCGTAAATGTGTTAAGGTCAGCAGACACAGAATCCCTAAACGATAGAGGCAGCACTTAAATAGTTTGCATAAGGCTTAGTAAATCAATCCTGTAAAACATGTACTAGCTCTCATATATAAATTGATTATTACATCTGGATGCATTGACATTTGTACGCCCTGTTTACTAGACAGTTACCCAAAAGGATCACCGGTATCCATTTTAAACTTTTAGTACTTATAATTGTTCAACTTTCAGATTGATTGGTAAACAGCAGATAAATCTAAGATTTTATTAAATTATCCAAAACTCAATTATGCATTTAAAAATAGTACAGCAAAAACGAAATTAAACCATTGAAAGAAAGTGATTAAGGAACAGCCTACATGTTGCTCTAAATTTTTGCTGGACAGTAAAAAAGTGGCAATGAATACTGAAGAGGATCCCAATAAAACCCCAAGCTATCACTGTTACTGATGGGCTTGATGTCCGCGGCCTTTTTTGAATTGTTTTCCTTGATTTGGTGAAATATAAAATATATAAAAATATACTATCCCGAAGAGTGAGGAAAAAACATGCAAATCTTTGCTTTATGATTAAGAAGAGCCATAAATATAGTCGCAATATACTGAGAATAAATAACTGGACACAGACTTAGATTACAAGTAGTCTATATTTACACATCAGATGTTCATCTGTAACAGATGAAGGAAAATCAGAATCAGAAGTTGGAAGGATCTCCTTTTTTTACAGATCTTTCACCATAGAAACAGCAAAGGAAAGTGAAACAATGATGGTGACAAAGTTTTCCTCAATGCCAAACACAAAGCAAGCTTATTTTCCATTAAAGTTGCAACACTAGAGGAAAGAAAAAGACAGATAAAAATAAAGATTAAATTAATAATACCTCAATATTACATTTAAACCGACCAACCAACTCCCTAAGAAACCTAAAGTACGAAGTGAGAAAAAGTGACATACTGTAAGCTTCAGTTAATCAAGACAAGAAAAACTTCTGACAGATGCCAATTCTGGATGGAAGTGCAACTGCATAGGAAATAAACATTTCTGGTTTTGAAAAACTGACAAATTATGTGTTTAGTATCACAAAATAAAGCAATAAAAAAAAGGCTGATTCATCAAAAAATACTATTTTTGTTATTCATACTTAACGTAGAAGTTGGTATTTTTGAAAACAAAAAAAACAAGTCAACAATTAAACTGCAATGGCAGCTACATAGCTAGGAGGAGCGTGCTGGTGAGGCTTTGTACTTTTACTGGTAGCTGAAGTATTCACTTTTGATGATTTGTACCTTATTACAGTAGACAGTCACACCTCTGCAGGAGAAAATAAACTTTCTACATAGTTTAAATAGATAAAATG